GGGGTGAGCAGACTGCTTCTGCACCCTTCCGTGAGGTCCCTGTTGTGATGACCACCGTGTCGCTGGGCCCTGTCCGCCCTCTCTGGTCCCGGCTGGCCCTGTCTGCCCGCTCTGGTCCCGGCTGGCCCTGTCCGCCCGCTCTGGTCCCGGCTGGGCCCTGTCCGCCCGCTCTGGTCCCGGCTGGGCCCTGTCTGGCTGCTCAGGTCCTGTCCCGCCCGCTCTGGTCCCGGCTGGCCCTGTCCACCCGCTCTGGTCCCGGCTGGCCCTGTCCGCCCGCTCTGGTCCCGGCTGGCCCTGTCCGCCCGCTCTGGTCCCGGCTGGCCCTGTCCACAGTGGCTAGGTGCTCCCTGCTCTGACCCTGCCACAACATCACTGCCCTGCTTGGTCACTTACAACAGTGAGTGAACATCTACTTCTTCTCATCCGTGCATTTTGTTATCTAACATTTTAAACTATTGTTTAGTATCCCAGTAAACATTTAGGATATTTGCACCTTTTTTCTGATGTACAGTAGGCTGATGGAAACACACTCTAGGACGTTTGCTGTTTTTTTTTAATGTTTCTTGGCCTCAAATATCCAGAGATGATGGATAGTAGGCTTAAATCTGTTAATAGCTGGGTGCTTTGACACACATCTGTAATCTCAGCACTTGGGAGACTGGGGCAGGAGGATCTTGAGTTCAGGATGCAGTTGAACTGCATAGGGTTCCATTCTCAAAGACCCAAACCAAACCACACCAAAGTAAAGTCATTACCAAATGCTGCCTTTAGAAGATAGGAGCTATTTCATAGTCGTCTGTTAAGAGTTCACCTGTTGTACCCGGGGGCAGAGCATGCGCAGGCGTTGTCATGATTGTCTGGCTTTGCTGATCTGTTACATGTGGAGTGGCCCTCCCCACTTTCAGCAGGATTCTCTGCGGTTTCTGCTGGCCTGTGTGTGGCCTCTGCATGGCCCCCAGGGCCCGATCACCACGTTGGGGGCCTCGGCAGTGTCAGTGTGTCCTTTGTTGCCATGAAGGGAGTGGACGTGTCCTCAGATGCCTGCTCTCCGTGGGAGCCTGGAGACTGGAAATTCATTTGCTTTTTGGTGGCACGTGGCAGGATCCCCAAGGGAGTTTGTTGGCTTATGGAACCGTCTAAGGGAAGCTGCCTTCAGGAGCAGCCGGTCCGGGTGCCCTACAGGGTTGTTAGCTCTCTTCTCTCTCCGCCCTTTGTAGGCCCTGCTTCTTTCTCTGGCAGGCTCTCTGAAAGAATGGCGACAGGACCCTCTGATCAGCCTAGCAACCCCGCTCTACCAGCATAGCCATCCTAGAGAAAGAAGCCGTTTCTCTACTATCTAGCAAGCATACAAAAAAATCAGAAACAGAAACCCTCCCAGGTCTCCGCGGTTGTCCGGACGCCTTGGTTCAGTGACTGACAGGGCGGGTGAGTCTGTACCTGGGCCTGGGTGAGGCCATGGTACCCCTCCTGACCCCTGGGACACAGAGAAGAGGGGTGGTTCTTTAGGAAAACTGCAGTTTTGAATCCAAAAAGAGGAATGGAAATGGGTGCCCCCAGGATTCTGTTCCAGGCAGCTCCTACGGCTCCCAGGCCGGGTGCGGGTTCTGGTGGGTCAGGGCGAGGCTTGGCCGAGGGCTCTTCCCACGCCTCTTAGGCAGGCAGATGTGGACTCAGTTTCTGCACTTCAGAATGGGGGCTGCAGTTCTGGAGTTGGGGGTAGCAGCTAAAGTTCTCTAGATCTTGAGCCTGGCATGTCAGCTATTTCCTGTGAGGACAGGAGGACACAGTGGTCAGCTGACAGCCAGAAGAGGAGGCCGGGGCGTGTCCCCATGGTATGGTGGTGCCACTGGTTCTCAGGGAGCCCCCAGTCCCTGAGTGGGCTGGCCGGGCCCTGGGGTGGGGCCAGGAGCTAGGCTGGGGAGGGTCCCCTCTGCTGGAGACTGAGCCCCCAGCCCACCTCCTCTAGGTGGAGACTGAGCCCCCAGCCCCACCTCCTCTAGGTGGAGACTGAGCCCCCAGCCCCCACCTCCTCTAGGCCAGGCCCCAGCCTGCACAAGGGGATGATTGTCCCCACAGGGGTGCCTGGGCCAGAAAACACTGTGGACACTGTGTCTGCTGTCGACCGTGTGGGCCGAGGCGTGAGTCACCGCCGGCTGGCAGGGAGGGCTGGGCCAGGAGCCCCTCACCCTTGTCTGGACCCTGACCCTGCCTCGGCCAGTGAGAGAGAGGCCAGCAGCCACAGACAGCGCCTTGTCTGTGATGTGAGGCCTTGCCTGCTCACTCCCACGCCCTCCCTGAAACTATCTACTTGGATCTCCCTTCACTCCCTAGGAGCCCTCCCCCCTCCTCCAGTCCCAACCCTCTGGCCACACAGAGGGAATGTGAGGTCAGACGGGACTTTTGCAGCAGTTACAGACACCTCTGGTAAAATCCGGTACAAAGGACTTGAAACTGCATGGGCTCCTAGCTCTGTTCTTTACCTGCCGTATGACCGAGCAGATGACTTCTGAATACCTGTGTTTTCTTCCCCCTCACTCTGGGGCTCAAGAGCTCCTCTGGCTTCGGCCTCCCAAGTAGCCGGAACTACAGGTGCAGTTTTCCTAGATACAAAGTATCTGACAATGGATGGGATTGAACTGTGCTCCCAGCCAGCCTGGGCCTCGGTTCTTTTCTAGTCCCTCTGGGGAAACATCTATCTTGCAGCCAGCATGGTGGTTTTAGCCATTGTTCTGAAGTTTAGTTCATTGGTAGACTTGGTCACTGTGCCCTGAGGAAAGGCAGTCTTCTGACTGGCCACCCAGCCAGAGTCACCTACCCACCATTGGCTGTGAGGTGTTCGCTCCCTTGCAGTGGGAGGTGGAGTGAGCAGGTTGAAGAAAAGTCACAGGAGGAGAATTGTGTTAGGGGAAGGCAGTGGTACCCACAGCAAATTCTCCTAAGTGAAGGCTGTCTTGTTCTCTAGGAGAATGTCCTTCTCTTAAGTTGGGCTCAGTTAACACCAGTTGGATGGCCCAGTACTTCCAAGCCTTGAAGTGTTGTCTGGGAAATGGGAGAATGTGACTAATGTCAGTCCTAATGGCCTGTGTAGTCTCCACACTCCAAGCTGCCAAGCTTTGTGTCAGTAGAGGGACTGATCTTGGCCGAGGTTGTGGTTTATCCTTAGTAGAGGGGTCGGTGCTAGCCGAGGTTATGGTTTATCTTCAGCACAAGGGTTGGTGCTGGCTGAGGTTATGGTTTATCTTCAGCACAGGGTTGATCCTGGCTGAGGTTATGGTTTATCTTCTGTTCAGGGGTTGATTCTGGCTGAGGTTATGATTTATCTTCAGCACAGGGTTGATCCTGGCTGAGGTTATGGTTTATCTCAGCACAGGGGTTGATCCTGGCTGAGGTTATGGTTTATCTCAGCACAGGGGTTGATCCTGGCTGAGGTTATGGTTTATCTTCAGCACAGGGGTTGGTTGGGGTCCATCAGTGTGGGTCATTCTTTTTTCTGGGGGGAGGTCCAGTTGTGGGGCCTGAACTCTGGGCCTGGGCGCTGTCCCTCAGCTCTTCAGCTCAAGGCTAGCACTCTACCACTTGAGCCACAGTGCCACTTCTGGCTTTTTTCTTTTTGCTTATGTGGTGCTGAGGAATCGAACCCAGGGCCTCATGCATGCACGGCAAGCGCTCTACCACTCAGCCACCTTCCCAGCCCCATCAGTGTAGGTCATTCTTACTGCTCCTGCTTGGGAGCGCAGAGCGGTGGCAGCCGTTGGCATTCCCCAGAGGCTAGCATAGGGTGTGGCCTCTGGGCCTGGAAGGAGGCAGTGAAGATGCCCTGGTGGTGCCCAGTAACCCAGTCAGCCAGGTCCCTGGGCTTGGACAGGACTCTGACCTCAGGGTGCTCGGTGGGCAGGCACCAGCCCCTCAGGCCTCAGGCTCCCAGGAGCTCCTGGGGGCTGGGTGGGTTCACTTGTAGGAGTGCTAGGTTAGGTCTCTTTCCTCTCTTCTGCTGAGTTCTGGTAGCATGCGCTGAGTGTTCATCACTTTAGCCTTTTGTAAGTGTACAGTTCCACAGCATCCCAGAAGCTCACAGGCTGTACAGCTATCTGCACCACTGATATTCCAGACTTTATTATCTCCCAGCCAAGCTCTACTCACTCCTCCCCACCCCGTAACCTTTGTTTGAGTTTCTATCTCTGAGTTTGACTCATACAGACTTCGGCCTTTGTACCTGTCGTATTCACTAGTATGATGTTTTCAAGGTTTGTTCCTGCCTCATCGTGCACCGAATGCCATCCCTTGTAATGGATGAATAATACCCTTGTAGCTGGCTGTCAGGTTTTGTTGATTCCTTACCTGAGCTTCGGTGGGTCCACATCTGGCTCCGGTGAGGGTGCTACCTCCCCTGCCTGAGGACCAGCCCCCTGGGCCTGGGGCTCTTCCGTGGTGGCTGCACCTTCTCACGGTGCTCAGGATCCCAAGTGCTGCATCCTCACTGTCCACGCTGGTTATGTTCTGTCCTTGCTTCTAGCCTAGTAGGGGCAAAGGTTTTCGTTCTGTTTTTATCAAAACGAGAGAGAGACAGGGAGACAGGGAGACAGAGACAGAGAGACAGAGAGAGAGGGAGAGGGAGAGGAAGAGGGAGAGGGAGAAGGAGGCACAGACATTTGGCCAGTAAGCAATGTCACTGTAATTTACTTATTTAGGACTGGCTTCATTCTCTCTCTCTCCCCTGCCTCTCTCAGTTACCCCAGACTTTCTTTCTGTGTGAAATGATTCATGAAACATGCCTGTTCAACCTTCCCATGTTGGTATTTGCAGAGCTAGCCCTTCTTGTGCTTTATTCTACCGTTCTTACGAAGCATGGAGGTCGCGTCTTGCATGCACCGTGGGGCTGACAGGCCCTTGCCATGTTCTGCTTGCACTTTGTTCCCACGCAGAGCCGGCCTCAGTTTCCACTCAGGAGTGGTCTCCGGGGATCTGGTGCCTTGTTGACCTTCTGTGTCTCCACTTTACAGGCCAAGAACAAGGAGACGGGAGACTTGGCCGCAGCCAAGGTCATTGAGACCAAGAGTGAGGAGGAGCTGGAGGACTACATTGTGGAGATTGAGATCCTCGCCACCTGCGACCACCCCTACATCGTGAAGCTCCTGGGGGCTTACTACTATGACGGGAAGCTGTGGGTAAGGCGCGGTTCCGTCTGCGGCTCCGTGTTTGCCTGAGGGTGAGGGCTGGGCAGGGAGAGGTGCGGAGGGCGGCCTGCGCTCCCTGTCCCTGCAGAGGATGTGGCGTTTACAGGGCTCTCCTGCCTGCCCTGAAACCTCCTGCAGCTGCTTATCAGCCAGATAAACCTACACTTGTGAGTCATAGTCTGTCAAGTTCCAGCCTCTGTCACATTGGGATAATAATACGGAATGAGTATCACAAACCTGGAAATCAGAAATCCGACGGTTCCCAAAATTAGAATGCTCTTCAAAAAGTTTCAAGTTTCAGATTTTCCCGTTAGGATTGCTTACCTCGTATAGATGCCAGTAGTCTAAGACCTCAGACACTCCAAACCTGAACACTTCTGGTCCTAAGCGTTTTGGAGAAAGGATTCTCAGCCTGTAGCAGGAGGGGGCGATGGGATTGAAGGAGCGAATTCCCAGGAGGACAGGAGCCAAGAGGGGAGCCGGCCGGGAGGCCAGGCAATGCTGCAGTGAAAGGTGCAGCCCCCGACCTCGTCCACCTCTGCTGTGCTGCTGCCAGGAAGGGGTGCAGTGTTGACAGGGTGTTTCACGTAAGTTCTAGGTGCAGCCAGAAGAGCATCCGAATTGGATGTAGATGACTTGAGAGGCAAGAAGAGAGGCCAGCTGGTGGGAGAGCAGGCTGCTGGGTGCACAGCCAGGGCCCTGCAGCAGTTGTAACCTCGGGGATCAGGATTGTTTTCGTGCCGCCCTGGGAGAGCTCCTCCGTGTTTGCGCTATTCCAGGAAATTAGCAGAGAGCTTGATGGTGAATAATGTTTTATAATTTTTTTCCATTTAATAGGAAATGGAAGTCTGGCTTTGTATTGCACAGAATGCCTGATTTTAAGGAACAGAACTACTGTGTTAACTGGAGGAATCTGTTTCATTTGAAAAGAAATAGTAAAGCCTATGGGTGGGGAAAGCCCAAGGAGAATTTACATATCCTCTCCCTCTCATCTCACAGATGACAAAACAAGCCCAGCACCAGAGTGCCCGCAACAGCGGGCACAAACCTTACCCTTCTCGTTGGAATTAGTCCCTTTTCTATTGCTGTAAGGAACTCTATGAAGAAAAGAGGTTTAGTTCTGGAGATTCAAGGCCATGGTACCTGGAATGGCTTGTCTGTCATGATGACCTCTCAGCCTAAGACATCACCAGGGCTTCACATTACAGAATGAGGCCCAGGAGTGGTGGATGGCCTCAGGACAAATGTATTAATCCCCCTGAGAGCTACTTGCTGCGCTTAAATGTTCCACCCCCTTCTGACACCGCCATACTGGGGACCGGCTCCAGCACGTGAGCCTCTGGGGGTCCTACTCAAACCGGAGCATAGCCCTCACCGCCCCCACCAGGCCCACCACCAGCCCCCTTCCCAAGGATGCCACTCAGATGTGCTGGGAGAAAAAGGCTTAGGATTTCACAGCCCGTCCTTCCCCATGTCTCCACAGATCCTGGAGTGGAGGGGGCAGGGGGAATCACAGGTGGTCACCTTTCCCAGAGGAGGGAACAGGGGCGCAGAGAAGGCAAGCTCCTTGCTCATGGCCCAAAGTCAAGACTGACAAAGCCCAGGCCATTTCCTGTGTCCTAAATGCAAGAGCTCCTTCTTAGTAAAATTTCCCTTCTTTGACAAAAGGAGAAATTAGGCAAGTATTATTACGTGATCAACAGAGAAAAATGAGAACGTACAGGAAGGCAGGAGAGGGAGAGGGTCGGAACTGGGCCTGGTGGGTGCAGTGCCCAGGCCTTCACCCAGCACAGGGGAGAATGCAGCTCAAGCCATCCAGCACAGAGCAAGGTCCGAACTTGAACGTAACCAGTGCAAAAAAGGTGTTGGTTGTTTACTTTCCCCCCAGGAGGCCTCTTGCTGACGGTGCCACGGTCTGTGGTTAGGTCTTTAGGCCACTTCTAATTTTGTCTTTGCTCTTGTGAGCAGCTCTGGGATGAACTTCTCTGAGTGCTTGTCGGGTAACCTTTTTTTTTTCTGGCACTGGCACTGGGGCGTGAACTTAGGTCCTTACGCTGCCTTGGCTTTTTTGTGTAAGTCTGGCACACTTCCAATTCCTGGGACCCTCTCTACCAGGGTTTTTAAGGTTCCTCAGGGTTGATTTCCACACTGGCCTACAGTCTCGCTGGATGCAGACTGAGGGAGATCTCCCACTGGCTCGCCTCCGTCTCTCCGTCTCTCCACCCGCACTCATTGCACACTGAAGAAAAACTCTGAGATGTGTCTGTTTCCTTGACTGGTTGAGGCGGAGTCCCAAATCCATTCCTTTCCCAGATCCAAAGACAACACTGCGATAGCTCGCGTTTACTGAGGGCTCAGCCCTGTGTCCTTGGCAGTGCACCGTTTACCTTGGCCTTGTTGCACTGTCTGGTCTTACAGAGGGAGATGAGAAACAAAGAATCCGAGTGAGTTGCCTCCCGGTCACACAGCTAGAAAGTGGCTGAGCTGGAAAAACAGAGAAAGGACAATTCTTGGTGGCATTATGACTTGTCATGGGCCTTTCTGTCCCCAAGTTGTCACTTTCTGCTGATACGTTCTTATCCAGGGCTGACCCACAGCCCTGGCTGCAGCTTTGTCCTCCTGTGAGGAGGAGTTTCGCCGCCAGGAGCCCTGGGGCCGAGGGGCCGAGGGGCCGAGCTGCGGAAGGGCGTGTGGGCAGCGCTGTGGACGCTTGGCCAGGCGGTCATAGGGTGGTTGGTGGGGCTGTCCCTGGAGGAAGAGACAGGCGCTGACCTCCTTGGGGCAGAATGGCTGAGGCTTGAGCGGCCAGGTGAAGGGTTTGTTCTCCACCTCCCCCAGCGGTCACTTGCCTTGTGGTAATGCCCACACATTGATTCCACAGGCCTCACCGGGCTCCACCACGCAGCGTCCCGCGTGTCTGTGCGACACCCCGGAGCTGAGGAATGGCCAGTCCCCGTGTCCTGCAGGGCTCGGGAGGGCAGGCTGGGGGGCGGGGGCCGGGCATGCGAGCGTCCCGCACGCTGCGCCTTCCCTGACGGAGTCCCTGAGTGCTGAGTGCCAGCTGTCAGTGTCCGGTGAGGGGCAGGCCCCATGGGGTCCCCGGGGTACAGAGGAGCAGGCTGAGGCTGGGTCACTGAAGCAGCAGAGGTTGGCCTGTCAGCCCTGGAACCTAGGCATGTTGGCCCCGAGATGAAGCCTTTGCTCCCCATCGATGGGGGTGGGGTAGGTCTAATACCACCCTGAGCCTGTGTGCTGACCGCAGGCCCTGCCCGGGCTGACTCCGGCCTGCCAGCCCTGCCTCCCGCTCCCCTGGCTTCCGGGCCTGTCTGCCGCCGTCGGTCACCTCTGGACCGCCACCTTTCGGTAGTTTGCCGTATCGCTCTGCGATCCCATACCTGCTTGGTCTGAGGGGCTGGCGAGCTGGTGTCTGACTTCCTCGAGGCCGTGGCCCTGGGACGGGCACCGCCAGCCCGCCCGGGGTGGAGCCCGCTGCCGGGAGTGGAGGCCGTCCAGCCGGTGCATCGCCGCTCCTCTGGGAGGGCTTGTCGCACAACGCTGAGCCCGCGCGGTGACCAGGGTCTGCTCCAACCTCAGGCTTGGCGCGACTTGGTCCCACACGGGTCCTGGCATTTCCTGAGGGGTGGCGTGGCCTTGAGCTCACACCTAGCCTTGCAAGAATGAGCTCACAGCCCCCAGCCTCACAGGAGTGTGCTCGCACCCAGCCTCTCAGGAGTGTGTGCTCACACCAACCTCGCAGGAGTGAGCTCACACCCAGCCTCTCAGGAGTGTGTGCTCACACCAACCTCGCAGGAGTGTGCTCACACCCAGCCTCACAGGAGTGTGCGCTCACACCAACCTCGCAGGAATGAGCTCACACCCAGCCTCCCAGGAGTGTGTGCTCACACCAACCTCGCAGGAGTGAGCTCACACCCAGCCTCTCAGGAGTGTGTGCTCACACCAACCTCGCAGGAGTGTGCTCACACCCAGCCTCCCAGGAGTGTGTGCTCACACCAACCTCGCAGGAGTGAGCTCACACCCAGCTTCCAGGAGTGTGTGCTCACACCAACCTCGCAGGAGTGTGCTCACACCCAGCCTCACAGGAGTGTGCGCTCACACCAACCTCGCAGGAATGAGCTCACCCCCCAGCCTCGCATGCTATGTTTGTAGCCGTTTATTGTGTTGTGTAGAAAAAGATAGTTTACGTGTTTAGCGCACGCACATACACACACACACACACACACACACACACACACACACGCACTGTGCTGATCTAGGCTTGAACTCAGAGCATAGGCACTGAACTTTTGTGCTGATTAATTAGAGATGGAGTCTCAAAAGACTTTTCTGCCTGGGCTGGCTTTGAATCTCAGCCTCCTGAGCACCAAGGATTTCAGGCACTTGACTAACGACTGCTCAGTTACTTCCCTTCTTAATACTGAGATTTAGGTTTTTAATAAACCCTGTGTACTGCTGTGAAAGCCCCAAGGAATTTGTAGAACAAGGCCTAAGCCGCTGGCGGCTAAGGGTCAAAGCTATAAGCCTAAAGGAGCAGCTAGGAAATGAGAATTGAACCAGGGCTAAGCAGCTCGCTTTACTCAGCGCTTCCTGTCCGCCAGGGCAAAAGGAGAAAACAGGAGCCAGGAACTGGGAATGCAGAGGAGGAAGCACGTGGTTGTTGGGCTCCACAGCCTTCCCAGTGCTCTCTGCGTGTGGAAGAGTGCCGACCGGGATGGCATCTGGCTGCCCGGGAGGCCGCTTACCCTGCCTCTTGGTAACAGATGTTGATCAGTGACAGCTGTGGTGAGGTGCACTTAGTTTGTGTGGTGTGGCATGGGTGTGCTGTGCTCTGACAAGGTGCTGCGCTGACCCTCACAGGCCAGGGTGCGGCCTGCTGCTGGGTTTAATGCTGGGGATCCCACTGAACTGCTTTGACCACGTTGGAGACTGAGATTCTTGGTGCCGTCGTACAGATCAGGAAACCAAGACTCACAGAGACATATCCAAGGCAGCGGCATCACGAAAGCCACAGTGCCAGCCGGTTACCTTTTCCTTGGTGAGGAACCCTTGTTAGAGAAGGGGAACTGTCTGGCTGGGTTCTGCCCCACCTGCCTCAGAGCGAGTCTGTTGAGCTCCAAGCATTTCTCCTTCCCACCCTTGCCGAAAACGCTCGAGGTTGGTTACAGTGGAGCCCATGAGGATTGGGGGTTGGCTGAGGTTGTTCTGGCAGTCGGGGGGTGGGGCAGGCAGAGGCTGCGAACAGGGCTTGTGCCGGTGCTTCAGGTCCACGAACTGCACACAGATCTCAGCTCCTATTTTTATTTTTCTGGCAAGAAAAGAGAACAGCTTTCATGCAGTCTTAGAAAGCAAATGAGTGCTCACCCAAGGGTGAGCATTCATAAATAATGAATGGATGAATGGATGGAGAAATGGATGGATGGATGGATGGATAGGTAGATGGATGGATGGATAAAGGGATGAATAAATAGAAACATGGATGGATGAGTGAATGGATGGATGGATGAGTGGATCGATGGATGGATGAATGGATGGGTAGATGAGTTGGATGGATGAGTGGATGGATGGATGAGTGGATCGATGGATGGATGGATGAATGGATGGATGGATGAGTTGGATGGATGAGTGGATGGATAGATGAGTGGATGGATGGATGAATGGATGGATGGGTGAGTTGGATGGATGAGTGGATGGATGGATGGATGGATGGATGGATGGATGAATGGATGGATGGATGAGTGGATCAATGGATGGATTGATGAATGGATGGATGGATGAGTTGAATGGGTGAGTGGATGGATGGATGAGTAGATGGATGGATGAGTGGATGGATGGATGGATGGATGGATGGGTGAGTTTGTGGCTGGGGTTAGAAAATGTGCTTTCCAACCTAAGACCTTCTACTACAACAGTTTTCCTACTTGACCCAGTGCCCTCAGGCTCCTACTTGGTATCTGCTGGGCTTTGGAGGGGGAAAGCCAGGAGTAGGGCTCAGAGGTCCTGGGTGGGGACGGCATGCTTGAAGCCTCTTGGCTGTGGTTGGAGCACGGGGAACCAGCCGCGGATGGTGGCTCTGGCTGGACGATCTGGAGGGCCAAGGTGTGGCCCGGCCAGAGAGGTTGTGCTGGAGTTTGGGCTCTCTCTGGTAACTTGGTTTTTCTTTTTCTGAAAAGTGAAGGCTGCAGGGCATGTCCCCGTTGCTAGGAGCATCCTGTGGTGGCTAAGGGATGTACGGCAGACGGAGCAGGCCTGGGCAGGAGGGCCGGGTGGCAGGGCACCATGGTCTGGGGTCTGGATCTCCCCACTGGGATAGGGTCTGCCTTGCTGTAACTGCTGTGTTCTCTGCAGATCTTGATCGAGTTCTGTCCAGGGGGAGCAGTGGACGCCATCATGCTAGGTGAGTCTGTGGTGGAGCATGCACCTGTGTTATACCAGAGACAGAGCCTGTGGTGTGTGTGTGTGTGTCTGTGTGTGTCTGTGTGTCTGTGTCTGTGTGCATGTGATACCAGAGACAGAGCCTCTGTGTGTGTCTGTGTTTATGTATGTGTGGTGGAGCATGCACCTGTGTCATACCAGAGACAGAGCCTCTGTGTGTGTGTGTGTGTGTGTGTGTGTGTATGTGTGTGTGTGTGAGTGAGATACCAGAAACAGAGCCTGTGTGAGCATTGCCTGGGGCAGAGGTGGCCAAGCCAGTCCTCGCTGGGGCCCTGATGTTGACAGTGCTTGCGCTGTGTGTGTATGATGTGTGTTGGCCAGCAGAGCCTGCAGTGGTGCTGCGGGGTGGTAAAAGTCTCCTCTCTTCTAGAGCTGGACAGAGGCCTCACCGAGCCCCAGATTCAGGTGGTGTGCCGTCAGATGCTGGAGGCTCTCCACTTCCTGCATAGCAAGAAGATCATCCACCGCGACCTCAAGGCTGGCAATGTGCTCATGACCCTGGAGGGTGACATCCGGCTGGGTGAGGGCGTGGCTCAGGGCCCTGGAGGGTGGCATCAGCTGGAGGAGGGCGTGCGTGGGGAGTGGGGAAGGGCGTCCTGGCTGGAGTACCGGGCTGGGGTGTCCTGGATGCAGTGTCTGATACTCTTCTGCCCCTCACCTCCTCCTCTGTCCTCAGCCCCAGTTGGCTTCCTCTGCTCATCACCTCCGTGTTGTTAAGGAGCATTTTATTTCTTCCCACGACTGTACCACGGAGGCCCGGAGACTGAGACCCCCGTGTGTAGCTGGAGATGGGTCGTTAGCAGGGTGTGCAGTTGTGGATTTTCATAGATTGACAGCTCTCAGCGTCTCGGCTCAGACCTCAGGGAGGGTGGGACCTGCCCTGGACCCAGCCGGCAGGGATGGGGCGGGCTGCCACCAGGGCTGTGGCCTGGGGTGCTGGAGTCCCGGGGGCTGTATGTGAGAGGCGTCTCGGTGGTGGACATGGCTGGGGAGGAGCCAGGTATGGCGTGACCGGGCAGGGGTGGGAGCAGAGGCGTGGAGATGGCCTGGGAAGAATGACATCAAGCTCAGTGCGTCTGCTGGACTTGCCTGTCTAGCATCGCGTTGACTGCTGCTGCTGGGGCAGCTCAGGGGTCTGCATGCAGGACATGGACACTGCCAAGGGAGGTACCCCAGATCCTGCCAGCCGAGGAGCGGTGGCAGTGTGGATTTCCAGAAGACTATTCAGTCAGGGAGAGGGGTGTGAACCGGGAGCAGCTGGGACAAGGAGCCAGGGGCAGAGGACAGTCAAGTGTGTCTGGTGCATGTGTGTAATGGAGGAAGCAGGAGACAGAGCCCCAGGGCCAAGGCCTGGGGTGCAGGGAGGAGGCTGGGCCTGTGGCCGTAACTGTGCTGAGCTGTGGGCTTCTCACTTCTGGGCTGCTGCCCCTGCCCCACCCCAGATCCCCTGTCCATCCTCAGGGCCCTGGCACGCCGCGCAGAGTCCGGGGTGCCAGTCAGAGCCGGCTGAGGGTCGAATGAGGCAGAGGAGTGCATCAGGTTTCCAGGCTTGGCTACTTGGGAGCCCCAGGGAGCCAGTGAAGGAGCGTTGAGTTCGGAGAGTTGGGTGTGTATTTGGCACACCCCGTAGGTGCCTGGCACACCCTGGCACATTATTCTTTCCTGGTGGGAACTGCCCAGCTGCGATCCTGAAGACGCCTTTCATCTGACTTGGGTGTCTCTGACACAGGAGGTGAACTCTGCAGCTTCCAGGAGGGACTCCCGAGCTCCGGGCAGAGGTGTCCCTGCCCTGGAGGTCCAGGTGCCCAGCTGGAGCGTGTGGCGCTCAGTGATAGAGGCGCGCCCAGCATCCCTGCAGCTGCAGACTGTGACTCCAGGGTCCCTCATCCCCACAGCCACCGATGCGCCAGGCAGGAGCCAGGCCTGGCCTCTCCCCCACCTCGCCGTGACCCAGAATTCTCCGTTCCTGCCCCCGCACGCGGGGTCTGGGCTCCGCCTCTGTGCAGTTTCCCCTCACCCATGCACATGGGAGGGCAGGAGAGCAGGGGAGATACCGCAGGTTACCTAATCTCAGCACTTACGAGATGGGGCCGACCCTTTTCCTGCCCTGCATGGTCATAGGTGATGGGAGGCGCTGTAGAACTCAGACATTTCTCTATGCCGACGGCACACCTGAGTCTCTGCACCTTACAGATTCTCAACAAACGTTACCCTTTGTTTTGTTGTTTGTTTGTTTTTTGCTGGTACCAGGATTTGAACTCAGGGCCTTGTGATTATTCAGCTTTCTCATTTGATGGCATTTCACCACTTGAACCATGCCTTCAGCTCGGCTTCTTGCTGGTTATGTTGGAGATGAAGTCTTATGATCTTTTCTGCTCCAGCTGGCTTCAAGCTATGATCCTTTCAGATTTCAATCGCCCGAGCAGCTGGGCTAATAATTTCCTTTTTATAAGATGAAAATTACCTTTAGAAAATTGGGTTCATAGGATGTCCAGTTTCCTAGTCTGTCTTTTTTTTGTGTGTGGTACCTGGGCTTGAACTCGGGGGGGTCATGGTTTTGCTTGGCTTGCTCATAGCTGGCACTACAGTGTGAGTCACACCCTGGCCCTGGTCTGCCTTTGTACCGCTTACTTACTTTTCTATTTGGTGGTGCATTCAGAGCATGAGCTCTTCCATCGAGCGACTCCCCAGACCCCAGCCTCTACTTTAATGGATGGTTACATGTGGTACATGTGGCATTCCTGCGTGTGAACCCTGATCCTGCCGGGTAACTGGTTTGTGTGTAACCGTGGAGATCACGTTCAGAGCCCTGTCTGCCAGCTGTTTTGAATTGGGCAGCGAAGGCCTGTGCTGTGGAGCCTTGGTTTCTCTGGTCTGGGAACCACCGCTGCCCACAGGGTGCACACCCTTCCAGCCTCTGAAACGCTGCTCTGCGCCCCCCCGCGAGGTCTTGGGGTGCTTGTCTTTCTGCTCCCAGGTTGTCTACGTAGCGTCATGTTCTCGTCTGCTTTACTGTATGTCCCCGTGTCCTCCTCTCAGCAGTGATTGTTTCTAAGCGAGGGCCTTTGTGGGAGATTTGGAGCCTCCGTCCGGCTCTCCAGGCGGCACTGCTGTGAAGGGCTGGTGGTGGGTCTCTGAGTCTCCTTCTGTGTCCAACCTTGGGGAGGGAGAACCCCCCGCTTGCCTGATTCTCCGAATTAGACTGACTGTGGCCAGCGCCTTCCTTCCTGCTCACTCCCCTACTAAGTTCGAAGTTCTATTTCACCACATCCTGGGTTTTACTTCAGAGGAAAAAAGACCCAAACCCCACAAAACCCCAAAACGTTGCTAACTGCATTTCTGTTTTTTAAACCATAAAGCAGTCCATACGAGCATTTTAAAGGCTAAAAGTTAGCTCGTGTGTGCAACCCTGGTTCCTCGGAGGACGAGGTCTGGAGGATAGGGGCTCAGAGCCCGCTGGGGCAGAAAAGCCCGTGAGACTTCACTCCACAATAATCATCAAGATGCTGGGCTGGAGGGAGGGCACCAGTGGTAGAGTGCCAGCTAAGCAAGCAAGCAGAGTAAACTCAAGGCTGTGAGTTCACACCCCACACCAGAAAGAAAAGAAAAAGTGTAAAGTAAAAATGGAAGGTCTCTGTGCGCCCCACACCCAGGGAGCGGCTGCTGTTGAGTGTGGCTTGTGACCCACAGCAGGTGCGTGCCGCACGGCAGACTCATGCTCTGGAGCATGTCCTCTGTGACCTGGATGTCATGTTGGAGGCAGATCACCAGGGAGCGTATCCCGGGGCAGCCTTGTTGTTCCTAGGGCTCCCTGCTATTTTACAGCAGAGAGGACCAGCACTCCTACAACACATCCACAGAGGCTCCAAGGATGCCCTGAGCCCCTGTGGACGCTCAGCCCTGCGTGTGCCCCACGCCTACGCAGCCCACCTCTGAGCGTACCACACGTGTGTGGACGCTCACCCCTGCGTGCTCCCATGCCTGTGTGGATGTCTGCCTGTGTATACCACACACCCACATGGAAGTTCACTTTATAAGTTAGACACAGTGAGAAACATGCATCAGGGACTGACGTAAAACATGGCAAGGACAACAGCACAGTGTAACGTATGTGATTTTGTGAGTAATTTCTAGGTCTTCTGTGTGATATTTTCACAAAACTGGAAGAGGGTGAGGTAGAGACCTCACTGACGTCCCCTGTGTCAGCCAGCTCTAGATGCACGCAGGCCAGCTTGGTGCAGAGCAGGAACAGGAAGTGCCCTTCCCGTGGGACCCCCTCTTTCCTGCGGCCCGGCCTGCCTTGTTTCCTTCAATAGACCACAGTGAAATGACCCTCATGTCCCCTGGGGCAGCCAACCCGCAGGGACCATGACGCTCTAGGCAGGGGGCACGGGGCGGGGCTGCCCCTGTGGGGCCGGGGGACAGGCCAGGGACAGGCCGGAGGACAGGCCGGGGGACAGGCTGGGGCTGCCTCTGCGGGGCTGGGGGACAGGCTGGGGATGCCTCTGCGGGGCTGGGGGACAGGCCGGGAATGCCTCTGCGGGGCTGGGGGACAGGCCAGGGACAGGCCGGGGATGCCTCTGCGGGGCTGGGGGACAGGCCGGGGACAGGATGGGGACAGGCTGGGGATGCCTCTGCGGGGCTGGGGGACAGCCCGGGGGACAGGCCGGGGATGCCTCTGCGGGGCTGGGGGACAGGCCGGGGATGCCTTTGCGGGGCTGGGGGACAGGCCGGGGACAGGCCGGGGATGCCTCTGCGGGGCTGGGGGACAGGCCGGGGGACAGGCCGGGGATGCCTCTGCGGGGCTTGGGGACAGCCCGGGGACAGGCCGGGGATGCCTCTGCGGGGCTGGGGGACAGGCCGGGGACAGGCCGGGGATGCCTCTGCAGGGCTGGGGGACAGCCCGGGGACAGGCTGGGGATGCCTCTGCGGGGCTGGGGGACAGCCCGGGGACAGGCCGGGGATGCCTCTGCGGGGCTGGGGGACAGGCCAGGGGACAGGCCGGGGATGCCTCTGCGGGGCTGGGGGACAGGCCGGGGATGCCTCTGCGGGGCTGGGGGACAGGCCGGGGGACAGGCTGGGGATGCCTCTGCAGGGCTGGGGGACAGTCCGGGGACAGGCTGGGGGACAGGCCGGGGACAGGCCTCTGAGGCCTGAGAGAGTCCCACCTCGGGCTGGGCCTGAAAGGGAAGGACTCGCTGCTCTTTCCGGAATGCCTGCTGGGCTCTCCAGGGAGGCCTTGGGCCCCTCTGTGTCATTGTGGAAGCAGGGGTCTCTGTCTTGTTTCTCTCCTCAGAAAGGAGTCTGCGGCCGGTGGTGGTGACAGAGCAGTAGGCGGCCCTGAGACTCACCCTGGCCTGAGGGGCTAGAGTTCCTGGCAGACACGTGGTACTGACTGCTGAGTTTTCCAGACACGTGTCCACAGAGCCCAGGCACATTCCTGCTCGGAGGCCTAGCGGGGCGTGCACACCCCACCAGCCCCACCTCTTAGTGGGGCTGGGCCTCCTCCCTCCCTCCCTCCTTCCTCCTCTTTCCTCCTTCTCTACGCAGTCCATCGCCACTCCCTTCCTCCCACAGCTATAAGTGGATACTGGTGTTGCCTGGTCTCTCTGCTTCCCTACTGCACCTTGAGCTGTCTGAGGGGCACAGATTCGACTGGTCTCTGTGTTCCCCGCCACACTGTCTTCCCGTGGTGCCGACAGGTGCCGGATGTGCCGGGTGGAGACTGGTTTCAGCTTACGTGGTTCTGAGCTCAGCAGAGCTGCGGCCTGGCCGGGGGCGGGCCTGGCTGCAGGGTCAGGCTGTGAGGGGTCAGGGAGGGGTCTTGGAGGGTCAGTGTTGTTCTGGATGAGCCGAGTGTCCTCTTCCAGCCGGTCAGGAAGCATCGGGGACATTTCCCTCCACAGCACCAGCCTCTTCTCCTTGCTGGGGGCTAGGAAGGAAGATGAAAGTATTGAAGGGTAAATCTGATTATTTTTGTTAATCCGGAAACTCCGACACAGCAGTTTCAGAATTGAGGAAGTGGAAGGAACCTCTGGTCTGATTTCCCCACCCACAAACAGCCCATGAGGCGGGGATGTGTCCCGAGGCTCTCCAGTGCTAGTACCTTGTCTCCACTTAGCTTGACATGTAAGCGAAATCTATGTTGATAAATATATGTTAGTGTCCATGAAAAGGGTAAAATATCTCATTGCATTTTTCTTGTAGTGCTGGGGATTGAACCCAGGAGCTAGGCAAGCAATCTACCACGAAGCTACATCCCTGCCCTTGGGTTTGAGCTCAGGGCTTTCACTTGCCAGACAGGCTCAGCTCCCAGCCAGCCCTTGGTTCTTTGACAGTCTTACTACGTAGCCCAGGTGATCATGAACTCACGGTCCTCCCGCCGTTGTCTCCTAAGTGCCACTGTACTTCCTGTCTTGTTAATTTCCTACTTTATTTCTGTGTGTGTGTGTGCGCGCGCGCGCGCGTGTGTGTGTGTGTGTGTGTGTGTGTGTGTGTGTGTGTGTGTTTGGGGGGGCAGAGAGAGGGAGAGGCAGAGAGAGGCCTTAAACCCTTTTTGGGAAAGGCAATATATTGTGTATATGGCACATAAAATTTGAAAATTATAGTAAGAAAACATAGCTAAGCAATTCTGGTTAAGATTTGCTACTATTTCCAGATACCAGTGGCTCATGCCTATAATCCTAGCTATTAGAGGTTGAGATCTGAGAATCACAGTTTGAAACCAGTCCAGGAAGGAAAATCCTTGAGTCTCTTTATCTCCAATTAACTACCAAAAAGCTGGAAGTTGAGGTGGGTCTCAAGTGGTAGAGAGCTACCCTAGAGCAATAAAGCTCAGGGACAGTGCCCAGGTCCTGAGTTCAAGCCCCCCTCTCTCTCTCTCTCTCTCTCTCTCTCTCTCTCTCTCACATACACACAAACACACACAAATTTGTTACTGTAAGGGAACTTTGATGAGCATCACTTGAGCCATGCGCCACTTCCGGTTTTCTGGTGGTTTATTGGAGATAAGAGTCTCACGGCCTTTCCTGCTGGGGCTGGCTTTGAACCAGGATCCTCAGATCTCAGCCTTCTGAGAAGTTAGGATTACAGGCGTGAGCCACCGGCACCTGGCTCATGGTTCTATTTTTGTATTTAGTGTCATTTCCTTAATTAGATCACTTCATTTACAATTATTGTATCTGAGTAGAGATGTTTTCAAGGTCCTTGTTGTCTATTACCCGATTGCTTTCCTGAAGACAGTTAGCAGCTTGTACTCAGGTAGGAACGTGCCCATCCCAGGCCAGGTACCACAGACTGCACGCTGCCATCTTTTTAATGCTCGCCATTGATAGACAGCACCTGTTAGTTCTCTGGAATCTGTGACCTTCTCCCCCCCCCCCCTCCCCCGCTGTGGGTAGAGGTCTGGTCCTCAGATATTTTATCTGAGATTTTTGTCTTCCAGCCGATTTTGGTGTATCTGCCAAGAATCTGAAAACTTTGCAGAAGCGAGATTCCTTCATAGGAACGCCGTACTGGTGAGTTGCATTTCTTCTGGGGGTGGAACAGGGGCCTGAATATGTACATATCACCCAGGGTGACCTCTGGGTGGTGAGGGGAGAGGCCCTGGGGCAGAGGCCAGCCCCCACTTGGACACATTGCCTGGCTTCCTGATTCCTCACAGTAAACCAGGAAGTAACAACGCCTATTTATAGGTACTGTGGGGATGGGCTGGCGCTCAGGGTGAGCACTCCAAACCGAGATCCAGTTGCTGTTTATTTCACATCTCTGTGTTGCACACCAGGTGGCCGCTGGCCAGGGGCTGGGTGGGCCCATGCACAATGCAGATTCACTTGCACCTCCACAGTGTTGTGACTCCTCCTCTTCCACAGCTGTCCCTTCACAGGAAACAGCTCTGACTCCTCGCACACTTACTTGCTGTTTCGTTGTTTTTACGGTTGTGGTGGTGCCGTGTCCCTCTTTCTTGCTTGCTTATTGCGCTGTAACTCTTTCTCTCCCCCTGCTTGATTCCTTCCCCCTGTCTCTCCCATCCCTTTCCTGCAGTGCTGCGTGTCCTCTCTGCCTGCCTCCCTTACCCCCTAGGCCTCTGCTTTGGATTGCTGCTGCCGTCTTCTGGCAGGTCTTGGGAATGCCGGCCGGCCATGGCAGGCGCTACCAGGCGAAGACCTTCTAAGGAGGACGGTGGGACGTCACGTAATTGAGATCATGGCTCAGGAGGGCCCTCAGCCCTCATCTGGGCTGGTGGTGTCCTGGGCCCCTGCGTGTCTGAGACACACCATCGGGAGCCTGATTCCTAGCTCCGTGTTGTGCTGTCCCTCGGCTTAGCCCTGTGTTGTCGCTTGGTGGCTCAGGATGGCTCCTGAGGTGGTGCTGTGCGAGACCATGAAGGACACGCCGTATGACTACAAGGCTGACATCTGGTCCCTGGGCATCACGCTGATTGAGATGGCACAGATCGAGCCCCCACACCATGAGCTCAACCCCATGCGGGTGCTGCTCAAGATCGCCAAGTCGGATCCTCCCACGCTGCTCACGCCCTCCAAGTGGTGAGGAGACTGGGCACGGGCACTGGGGCATGGGCACCGGCCCTGCAGGGCATGAGTCCTTGGTGGTGTCCCCGGGGCTGCCAGCTACAGCAGGGCGCCAGTACTGCCCCCAGCCTGAAGTCACCACGGATCCCATCCTCAGGTCCGCGGAGTTCCGGGACTTCCTGAAGACAGCGCTAGACAAGAATCCCGAAACCCGGCCCAGTGCTGCTCAGCTGCTGGAGGTGAGGGACCCTGTCCTGGCCCCTGTGCCCGCCCAGCAGGGCCCTGCAGGGTAACGGCGGGCAGGCTGGGCTGTGCAGGCTCGAGCCGGGGCCTTGGCTTTACCTGGGACCAGCAGGGGCAGGGCGTCGGGCTCTCCCTGGGTGGACTCCGGTGGACCAGCCCAGCCGGCAGCAGCTTTGTGGGCAGCCGACCACTTGACTGTGCCCCTGGGCGGGGTAGCCTGCTCCAGGAAGCTTTTGGAGTGGCGCGATGCATTCCCTCCTTTCCTCACCAAGCTGGTGCTCACTTGAGGCCGCCGTGGCCTTTTCTGTTGGGGAGAGGGGTTGCCTCCCCAGCTCCCCTGAGGGGTGCTGACCCCCCGACCCCTGGGGTGCCGACCCCTGGCTCCTTCCACCCCCGGCCCCTGGGGTGCCGACCCCCTGACCCCTGGCTCCTTCCTCCCCCGAATTCTGGGGTGCCGACCCCAGGCTCCTTCCACCTCCGACCCCTGGGGTGCTGACCCCCCGACCCCAGGCTCCTTCCACCCCCGGCCCCTGGGGTGCTGACCCCCCGACCCCTGGCTCCTTCCTCCCCCGAATTCTGGGGTGCCGACCCCAGGCTCCTTCCACCCCCGACCCCTGGGGTGCCGACCCCCCGACCCCTGGCTCCTTCCACCCCCGACCCCTGGGGTGCCAACCCCCCGACCCCTGGCTCCTTCCACCCCTGGCCCCTGGGGTGCCGACCCCTGGCTCCTTCCTCCCCCGACCCCTGGGGTGCCGACCACCCGACCCCTGGCTCCTTCCTCCCCCGATCTCTGGGGTGCTGACCCCTGGCTCCTTCCACCCCCGACCCCTGGGGTGCTGATCCCCCAACCCCTGGCTCCTTCCTCCCCCGACCTCTGGGGTGCCGACCCCCCGACCCCTGGCTCCTTCCTCCCCCGACCTCTGGGATGCTGACCCCTGGCTCCTTCCACCCCTGACCCCTGGGGTACTGACCCCTGGCTCCTTCCACCCCCGACCCCTGGGGTGCTGACCCCTGACTCCTTCTACCCGACCCCTGGGGTGCTGACCCCTGGCTCCTTCCTCCCCTGACCCCTGGGGTGCTGACCCCTGGCTCCTTCCACCCCCGACCCCTGGGGTGCTGACCCCTGACTCCTTCCACCCCCGACCCCTGGGGTGCTGACCCCTGGCTCCTTCCACCTCCGACCCCTGGCTCCTTCCACCCCTGACCCCTGGGGTGCTGACCCCTGGCTCCTTCCACCCCCGACCCCTGGCTCCTTCCACCCGACCCCTGGGGTGCTGACCCCTGGCCCCTTCCACCCCTGACCCCTGGGGTGCTGACTCCTGGCCCCTTCCACCCCTGACCCCTGGGATGCTGACCCCTGACTCCTTCCACCCCCGACCCCTGGGGTACTGACCCCTGGCTCCTTCCACCTCCGACCCCTGGCTCCTTCCACCCCTGACCCCTGGGGTGCTGACCCCTGGCCCCTTCCACCCCGCCCCCGGGGTACCGACCAGGTACCGACCAGGCGGGGTGCGTCTTGCCCCTAGCACCCCTTTGTCAGCGCTGTCACCAGTAACAAGGCTCTGCGGGAGCTGGTGGCCGAGGCCAAGGCGGAGGTGATGGAGGAGATCGAGGATAACGGGGAAGAGGAGAGCGCAGTGGACGCCACCTCTGTGAGTGTGGGAAGCCAGGCTGGGGCGGGGGAGGGAGGCTGGCGCTCTCTTGCCCTGCCCCACGTGGAGGTCACGTGAGGGGCCTGCGGGAGGGCCTGGCTGAGGCGTGGGGGTGGGGAGCCCATGCGCAGTGTTTCAGAGTCCAGATTTTCACATAAAACCACCTGCTGTCCACCCTGGTGGCACAGCGGATTGCCCTCACCTCCAGCTCCAGTGTTCAGAGCCCTCCGTCCTTCCCGGTGTGGCTCACACAGGGGTTTTTGGAGGCAGCAGGCTAAGAGGCTGTGCCAGCTGCCCCATCTGCTGCCTGGGCACAGGAGAGGAGTCTCTGCATGTTTGTACTTCTGCGACCCAGTGTGAAAGGCGTGAGTAGGATTGCCAGCCAAGGCTGGCCCCAGGCAAAGAACACCAGACCTGACCTGAAAGCAAGAGAGGCAAGGGTGACTCAGGTTAGCAGAGCGCCTGCCCCCCTGCAAGCCAGACCCCGGAAAGAGCTGCTGGCCATGAAATCACATGGCAGTCCAGATTTCCAAGCTGGAGCAAGATGGCTGCTGAGCCATCCTTCCAGCTCCCCTCCCAGGAGGGCAGCAGTAGCCTAGAGAAGCTGCGGCTAGACTGGCAGGGGCTTCTGGGGCCTCGCCCTGGGAGCATCTTCATAATGAGGTGGTAGCGGTGGCGAGAACAGCGGCCGAGGAGACCCCTACTCCCCTCCCCTAGCAACACCCACACAGCTCGCTGTCTGACTTGGCCATGTGTCTTCTTTAGACCCTGGGGAGCCACACTCAGGACTCTTCTGAGCCAGGCCAGCTGAGCCCACATGCCCACCAGCTTCTCCAGGAGCCGGCTGTCCCACGGCCGTCCAGCCAGGCTCAGGATGGGGTGTCTGGTGCCCACAACCAGCCCTCTGGGGATGGGTGCCCGCAAGCCAGCAGCCCTCCCGATGTGGCCCCTGCAAATGAAAATGGCCTACCAGTGCCCGTGCCCCTCCGGAAGCCCCGGCCCGTGTCCATGGATGCCAGAATTCAGGTGGCGGAGGAGAAGCAAATGCCTGAGGATCAGAGTCCTGCAGCCACCAGGTCCCAGAAGGCGAACCATGACCGGCCCAGCCCAAGCCGGCCCAGCAGCAGTGCCTTGGAGTCCCTCGGTGGCGAGAAGCTGGCCAACAGCAGCCTGGAGCTCCCGGCCCCCACGGGCCCGGGCCTCTCCCAGCTGACCTCGGACAGCATGGACTGCAGCACCTCCCTGTCTGCTGACCTGTCCCTGAACAGAGAGACGGGCTCCCTGTCCCTCAAGGTAACTTCATTTGGCTGTGCCTTCCTAGACCCTGTCCTGCCTCTCTCTTCCTGTAGACTCTTTTTGTAAATATGGTGGACTCGCCTGGAGCAGTCTCTCCCCGGCTTTTCTCTGGAGAGCGGCTGCGGTGAGGGGGTGATGCATGATGTCCTGGTGAGCAGAAGTCTGTCTCTTCAGGGATGGGGCCTGTGGCCAGGGCAGTGCTCAGCCCTCAAGGCAGGGCTGCAGCCGAGTGGGCTTTTTTCCCTTGAGTTCCACACCCTCCTGCCTTCCTTACAGCCGGCTGACAGCTGGTCCCTGCCCAGTGGAGCCTGCAACTGTGCATCTAAACACTGAGGGTTCAGACTTGGGCTCAGGAGCAAGGAGACTGGTCCCAAGGGAGGTCTCCACCCAGTGAGGAGGAAGCTCAGCTCTCACCTTGACCCCCCTGCCCCTACTCCCTGGAGGGCTGTAGGCTTCACCTTGTGTCATCCATGGAGGGTAGGCTGAAGTACTGAGTTTTGGCACTTTATGTGTTCCCTGGCCAGGACTCAAGGCTGCACAACAAAACCCTGAAGCGAACACGCAAATTTGTGGTGGATGGCGTAGAGGTGAGCATTACCACCTCCAAGATCATCAGTGAAGATGAGAAGAAGGACGAGGAGATGAGATTTCTCAGGCAAGTTCAGGAAGGACCACTGATGGTAGTAATGGTGGGGATGTACTGAGAGGGGTGGGCACTTGTCTGGGTGAGGGATGGGTACTCATTGGATGAGGGATGGGTACTCATTGGATGAGGGATGGGTACTCATTGGGATGAGGGGTGGGTACTCACTGGGATGAGGGGTGAGTACTCATCGGGATGAGAAGGATGGGTACTCATTGGGATGAGGGGTGAGTACTCATCGGGATGAGGGGTGGGTACTCATCAGGATGAGAAGGATGGGTACTCATTGGGATGAGGGATGGGTACTCATCGGGATGAGGGGTGAGTACTCATCAGGATGAGAAGGATGGGTACTCATTGGGATGAGGGATGGGTACTCATCGGGATGAGGGGTGGGTACTCATCGGGATGAGGGGTGAGTACTCATTGGGATGAGGGGTGGGTACTCATTGGGATGAGGGGTGGGTACTCATCGGGATGAGGGGTGAGTACTCATTGGGATGAGGGGTGGGTACTCATCGGGATGAGGGGTGGGTACTTGTCTGGATGAGGGGTGAGTACTCATTGGGATGAGGGGTGAGTACTCACTGGGATGAGGGGTGGGTACTCATCGGGATGAGGGGTGGGTACTCATCAGGATGAGAAGGATGGGGTACTGTGTCTTCTACAGTGGGGAGCCTGCTTGAGAATCTGTACTTCCTCATCTCTCCACCTGCCTACCTGCCCAGCTGTCTGTTATCTGTCCCTTCATCTGCTCGTCTACCCACCAACCCATCTATTTCTCTCTCCATTCATATACACACCTAGTGACCCACGTCTACTCCACCACTGGTATATTACCTATCAATCCGTAATCCATCCGTCCATCCACCCACCTATATCCATCTACCTACGAATGCTGATATCACCCACTGACCCAATCACCTATCCATCCAATCACCCATTCATCTATCATCTGTCCATCCATTTATATACCCAACTATCTACCCGTCCATCCATCATGCATCCACCCCTCTGTCCATCTACCAGTCATCCAACCCCGCCATGCTTACCTCTTTCCTCCATCTGTGTACTCACCACAGACGGTGGCTCAGATAAACAAGGCTACTGTCTGGTAAAACTTAACCTGATTGGCCAACATACAATACACAAGACATTCTTGGTTGTGCTGTACTCTGTGAAGGAAGTGCTGGGTTTCACCTGTATGGTGGTGAGTGCTGGGGCGGGGAGGAGGAGCGGCCGTAGGCCCTGGGGTGACCGCTAGTTTTGTTCCAGGGGAGTTGCTGGCACCCTGGGGTGACCACTGCGGTGCTTTTTGTTTCATGGCCTGCACCTCTTTTGCTGGTTAGAATATTCCTTCTTTTCTTCCTGAAGATCTGTAAGCACTCTTTGTATTTTGAATGTCAGTGCCGAATGCAGCCTGAGGCATTGACTTGTAACCACAGCTTGTCTTTGCCAAAGACTTGCACGGCTTCGCCTTGGCCCAGCCCTCAGTGCCGCGTGCCGTGAACACGGCTCCTCTGAGGCCGCTTTCTCACTGGAAATGTTCCCATCCAACCTTCAGGCGCCAGGAACTTCGAGAGCTCCGGCTCCTCCAGAAGGAAGAGCACAGGAACCAGGCACAACTGTGCAGCAAGCATGAGCTGCAGCTGGAGCAGATGCACAAGCGTTTTGAACAAGAAATCACTGTGAGTGTGAGCGGACGGGACCAGAGGGCTCTTGCTGCCACATTTTCTCTTAAGAGGAGGTTGCAAGGGGTTTGGGGACAGCTCACAATGTTTGCCCAATTACTGTTGCTTTCCAAAAGCACAGAGATTCCCCTCTACAGAGAAAATCACCCCGTGGACACAGTGCAACACCCCTCTAAGGTTGATGGTCTGCTTTCCCTTTTGCAGATGGAAATTATAAAATAGAGTATCAGGGATTTTAAGCGACTTAGCCTAGGTCACACAGCAAAGAGGTCTTGGAGCTGGAATTCGAACCCGCTTCTGAGCACAACCTCAGGTTTAGAGAGCCTTTGCTGAGTTTCTCTGAACTGTTGCTCCTTCTAGACCAAGAAGAAGTTTTTTGACACCGAGCTGGAGAACTTGGAGCGTCAGCAAAAGCAGCAGGTGGAAAAGATGGAGCAAGACCACTCTGTGCGCCGCCGGGAGGAAGCCAAGCGGATCCGCCTGGAGCAGGATCGGGACTATGCCAGGTTTCAGGAGCAGCTCAAACTCATGAAGAAGGAGGTGACTGAGGGCTGGCGGGGTGTTGGGCACTGCGGGCTCAGCCTCACCTCACAGCAGAGGGTCTGGGAGCTGCTCAGAGCAGTGGCGGCTGTACCTCTGTGTATTCTCAGCTTCTTTAGCTATGCTGGCTTTGTACCCAGCCAGGCCCTGGCATGGGGCGTAGGGAGGGCCCTTTTACCTTCTCGCAGCCTGGCACCGAGTGAAAGCAGAAGGAAGGGAGGGGTAGTGGTGGCCCTTCACGCTGGAGAGGCTGTTAGCACACAGGATGTGGGCACACACACAGTAACCCCTCAGCCCTGTCCTCCCCTCCCCACCCTGCCTGCAAGGGGAAGTGTCAGGGCAGTGGGTGGAGGGAGATCTCAGCCTGCCCTGAACGGGGCAGCCCTTGCCTCCCTTGTGAGGGGCTGGAGGGTGTGCCTTCATTTTGGGATACCCTTTCTTAGGAGAGTTAGGGGAGGACAAGCAAGCAGGAACAGCAGCCTCAGTCTCAAGTTGAGGACAGGATGAGCGGCCCTGCTGGACCGCAGGCCCAGCCTGACCCACTGTGGGTGTGGGAGGTGTCATCTCTCAAGGGCCACAGGCAGAGCCTCTAGAGCCCTGTCTGAGCAGAGCCAGCACGGGACAAGTGAGGCAGGGACCTCAGCGAGCTCAGTCGCCAAACAGTGACATGCAGTATTTAAAAGCAAAAACGAGTAGAGGGACTCCATGAGTCAGCTACTGGAACAAGGGTGGTATCCTACAGGGCTGGGCAGCGTGAGGCAGTGTTCTGTCTGTCCTGCTTGCTTCGTGGTTGCTCTGAGAAGATGCCTAAGAATCATTTGGAGAATCACCTGCTCAACCCGTACTTGAGCAGAGCATGATGGGGCAGGAGTGTGCGGCAGAGGGCTCGCCTCAGGGCGGACAGGAAGTGAAGGTTCCCCTCATGGTGGACAGGAAGTGAAGGGCTCCCCTAAGGGCGGACAGGAAGTGAGGGCTCCCCTCAGGGCGGACAGGAAGTGAAGGTTCTCCCTCATGGTGGACAGGAAGTGAAGGGCTCCTCTCAGGGCAGACAGGAAGTGAAGGTTCTCCCTCATGGTGGACAGGAAGTGAAGGGCTCCCCTAAGGGCGGACAGGAAGTGAAGGTTCCCCTCAGGGCAGACAGGAAGTGAAGGCTCCCCTCAGGGCAGACAGGAAGTGAAGGTTCTCCCTCATAGTGGACAGGAAGTGAGGGCTCCCCTCATGGTGGACAGGAAGTGAAGGGCCCCCCCATGGCCGGCAGGAAGTAATGGGCAGTAACAGGAGGGGAAGGGTAAGAAGCAGCCTCCGACCAGGCAGGAAGTTCCAGATAGTTTAGTTCACCCACATTTTGAATCCATCAGTGAATTCAACCATTCATCAGATCAGAGCCCTGATGATCTAACCATCTCTGAGATTGTGCTTTATTGATCTCCTCCAAATCTCTCCGTCCAAACAACCTGACCATCATTATTAACTGTCAGTGAGTATACTTAAAATGCTAGTGCTTGTTCACAAGTTTTGCATGCATCGGATTGATGTTAGTGTCTGTCTCGGTGACTGAGTTTGGGGCGTGCTCCTCACGCTCCTGCCTCACCCCCAGAGAGAGGAGGGGTTGTGCTCGGAGCACTGGGGGTGGAGGGGAGCTGGCCCTCAGCATGGCATAGGATTAGGAGCCAGGCCTGGCTTCAAGTCTTGGTTCAATGGCGTGCCAACAGCATGGGTTTCCCTGGGTCCTGTCTGGCTGAGTGTCTGCATGTGTGCTTCTGTGCTGGTGCCAGGCATTCTGTAGTGAACAGAAGGCAAGAAGGGAACTCAAGTCCAAGACAGCCAGAAGACAAAAGACAAGTACACTATCGAATACCTAAAACAGTTGGATATGTGCTGTGAATGCCAACTGCCCTGCTAACTAGAGAAGATACAGACAGAGCCGCCTTTCCTTGGTCTGGAAGGTGTTCTAGCTGATATTTAAGCTGAGCCCAGAGAATGTTCCCGCAGGGTGGAAAGAACTTAGATTGATGGGCTGGGAAGGTGGCTCAGTGGTAGAGCACTTGCCTTGCATGCTCGAGGCCCTGGGTTCGATTCCTCAGCACCACATAAGAAAAAAGCTGGAAGTGGCGCTGTGGCTCAAGTGGTAGAGCGCTAGCCTTGAGCTGAAGAGCTGAGGGACAGCGCCCAGGCCCAGAGTTCAGGCCCCACGACCGGACCAAAAAAAAAAAAAGAACTTAGACTGAAGTTATTTAGGAGAGCCCAAAAATGGTGTGACAGAGACCTGGAAGGTGAGGAGATATCAACAGATGACTCTGGAAGCAGACCAAGCAGAGCAGAGGCCAGGGCCAGGGATTGGCATCCATCCCTCACAGTTTTGTGCCTTCAAGGGTGAGGTGCACATTAGGTTCTAGATGCAGCGTCTGTCACGGGGTAGTGCACAGTGGGGCTGGTCTCCCCCTGGCTCTGCACCCCACCATGTTCATCCTGGGTGTCTGCAGGAGGAACTGTGAGAGGAGAGCAGGGGGTGCTGCCAGGGCCCATGGAGCCATGTCCTTTGCCATCCTGACAGAAAGCAGATTTTCTTCCAAGGATTCCAGGGACAGCTTGCGTCTGTCACTGGTTCCGGGCAGTGTGGAGCTGGTACAAAGGCTCTGCTCACACGACAGCTTCTCTCATTCATTCATTCATCATTTATTTATTTTTGGGCTGGGCATTGAATTCAGCATGCTAGACAAGTGCTTGTCTCTGAGCCACCCACCCACCCTGACACAGTACTCAAGTTTTCCCTTATTTTGGGGTGTTTTTCTTCAGAATTTTCATGGAAGGGAAAGTGCTGAAAAGCACTGAAGGAAGTCCAGGTTCTGGGACCAGAAGAAGGGGATGGAAATGAGATAGCCCAAAGATGCCCCCATCCAGGGTGGGAAGTCTAGGAGTGGCAGACAGCCCTGGGGGACGGTGGCCCGGTGGAGGCTCCTGGGAGCGCTGACCCTGCCGCTTCTGCCGTCCCTGCTGCAGGTGAAGAGTGAGGTGGAGAAGCTTCCCCGGCAGCAGCGGAAGGAGAGCATGAAGCAGAAGATGGAGGAGCACACACAGAAAAAGCAGCTGCTGGTTAGTCCCCAGCCCTGGGGTGGGGAGCAGGGGTGCTTGCTGGAGCCCCAGACTTGAGGCCTTGAGTGATGTGAGGCCTATGCAGAGGTCCATCCCTTTTCTGAACGCCCAGGAGCAGCTCACCCTTGAAGTCCCACTGGCCTCACCTCTCCACACAGCCTTCTCTGATTCCTCACACTCCCACCAGAGGTGGACGCCCTGTGTCTGCCTCTCAGGGATGACAGGTGTATGCCGCTGTACCATGGCTATTGATTGATGTGAGGGTTGCATTAACTTTTGCCTGGGTGCTACCTGAGTGGCCGGGTTTACAGATGTGTGCTGCCACGTCTGGCCCTCTATGCCCTTCGTGTGAGGCACCTAATCTTTTTTCAAGCTTAATTTTATTTTCTTGCTAGTTTGGAAAGGTAAACACAGGCACGAGTGGCTTTCCCCAAGCAGCTTGGAAGGCTGGGATTGTTGGGACTCAGGCCAGCAGGAGAATGTTCTCAAGACTTTGAGAAGAGCTGGATGTATTAGTAGCATACGCAGCTCTCTCCAAGCCCCACAGCCAGGCAGGAAGTGAGACCCTATGTAAAAAAATAGTGGGCAAAAGTCAGGGCTGGGTGGGGCTTATTGGTCTGAGTGTCTACTTAGCAAGCACAGGGCTGGGGCCGGTTGCCCATGCCTGTGCCTGCCACTCAGGAGACTGAGCTCTGATTATCACGGATCACAGTTCAAAGCCAGCTCAACAGGAAAGTCCGTGAGACTATCTCCAATTCATCACCAAAATAGCCAGAAGTGGAGCTGTGGCTCAAGTGGTAGAGTGCCAGCCTTAGGCACGCACACACACATGTACACACACATGTACACACACACACACACACACACACACACCTCAGGGACAGTGACCAGGTCCTGAGTTCAAGTCCCAGGACTGGCAAAAAAAACCCGCAAGACAAAAAACAGAACAAAACAATAAAAAAAATTAGACTGGATCTCTAGACAAAGAAATGCCATACGTTCAAGGAAAGGGAAATGCGCATTGCCGTGATTTGATAACTGTGCCCTGTTGACAGGTGAAGAATGGCCAGAACATATCCCATAAATGTACAATTGTTGTCCATTAAAATAAAAAGTGGACGGTAGTAATTAAAGGTGGACGATGAACTCCACCTGCCCTCGTACCTACTCATGGCCACTCAGTCCCTCTCTGGCCCCACTGGATTCTTCTAACTCAAATCCCAGATACCACAGCACCCTGTATCTATAAACACCTCTTTCATCGTAGGTACAACCAGCACGACAAGATTGTGCCTTCGCTGGGAACTGGGGCAGATGCTCTGTTGTGAGTGTGCACTTTGCCCGTGCAGATGCTGACTTCACTCTTCAGCACTCAAAGAATTAACAGTGATGCCTGAAAACTTTGTTTTTGCCAGTCCTGGGGCTTGAACTCTGGGCCTGGGTGCTGTCCTGGAGCCTCTTTGTGCTCAAGGCTTGCACTCTACGACTTGAGCTACACTTCCACTTCCAGCTTTTTCTGAGTTTATTGGAGAAGAGTCTCATAGACTTTTCTGTCTGGGCTGGCTTTGAACTATGATCCTCAGATCTCAGCCTCCTGAGTAGCTAGGATGACTGGCATGAGCCACTGGTGCTAGGCTTTGAGTAACATTTTTGCATACTAGTCAGCACACACATTTGTATTTCTCAAAACTCTTCCCACAATCCTCATTCCCTCCCCCCATTTGATTCCAGGTTCAAGTAAAGCCCATCTGTTGCACTGGCCACTGTAACTTGGTATCTTGAGACATTTTCTTCTTCGTTTTCCTCATTTTCTTCTCTAGCCATGCTGACCTTTCTCCTGTGACAGGAATAAACACTGTTTTCCAGGCTGACTCTGAGTAAGTCTGTCTCCCCTGCCCCCCAGGACCGGGACTTTGTTGCCAAGCAGAAGGAGGACCTGGAGCTGGCCATGAAGAAGCTGACGGTGGAGAACAGGCGGGAGATCTGTGACAAGGAGCGCGAGTGCCTCAGCAGGAAGCAGGAGCTCCTTCGAGGTGGGCCTGGCGTCACCGGAGGAGCACTGGAGCTGGGTGGGCGAGGAAGGGGTGGGCGAGGAAGGCCCTGTTCCTCTCCACCTTGAGGAAGCAGGAACTCCTTCGAGGTGGGCCTGGTGTCACCGGAGGAGCACTGGAGCTGGGTGGGCGAGGAAGGCCCTGTGCCTCTCCACCTTGAGGAAGCAGGAGCTCCTTCGAGGTGGGCCTAGCGTCACCGAAGGAGCACTGGAGCTGGGTGGGCGAGGAAGGGGTGGGCGAGGAAGGCCCTGTGCCTCTCCACCTTGAGTACACACCCTTCCTGGTGAGACAGGCAAGCGGACTCCCTGGAGTCAGGACTAAGGCGAGGGTACTGGTTACATAGTTCACATATCAAGGCAAAGTGGGAAAGGGAGAGGGCTGAGTAGCATGGATTGGAATTGGAGCTAAGCAAGCTGGGTTAACAAGTCACAGAGATGTTGTTGACAGCCTGGCCCAAAACTGTCAGGTGGGACCCCCTGCTAAGGCTCAGAGTTCTCTGGCTGACTGAAGGTCTGTTCTGGCTGCTGTGGTGCACACCATAGACCATGTATGTGGCTTGGGAACAAGTTCTAGGGGCCGCCAAGGCCAGGGCCCGGGCCCGGGCTGTCCTTGCTGATGGTGCCTCTCTTGGTGTCACTAGGGCGGGAGGGGAGGGGAGGGGAGGGGAGGGGAGGGGAGGGGAGGGGAGGGAGGACCTGCCGGCTCTCACCGGGCTGGTGCATCCTCGCAGACCGGGAGGCAGCCTTGTGGGAGATGGAGGAGCACCAGCTGCAGGAGAGACACCAGTTGGTGAAGCAGCAGCTCAAAGACCAGTACTTCCTGCAGCGGCATGAGCTGCTGCGCAAGCACGAGAAGGTGGGGCTCTGCTGTGTGCTGCGCAGGGGGGGGGGGGGGGAGGCCCCACTGTCTGTCTGTCAGGGGAGGGGAGGGGGTCCCCCCTGGGCGGCAGGGGCATTGTAGAGAGCCAGGAGCTGCTGTGGCCACAGAGATGCCCCAGGATGTTCTCTGGGAAAGTTCTACTGAAGCTATGGGGCCTAGAAATTGGAGCAAGCCAGCATGGGGGTAGATGGGGAGCTGGGCACCTGGTCCAGTCCCCCTGTGCTTCCCTTCCCCTTTGTCCTCCTGGCCTCCATCTTTCTGTGCCTCTTCCTTCACATCCCCTGAGAAGACTCTCCGCCCCACATCTGCTGGGCAGCCTTCCTGTGCTCCCGGGCAGGGCAGCGAGGACCAGCCTGTGGGCCGGATCGCCTTCTCTGTCTGTGCTGTTAGGTGCTCTTCAGGCCCCACAGTGAGAAGGGAGGGAGACACACTGGGTAATGACGCATCCCAGGGCAGATGCCAGCTGGGGCACTGGAGCCAGCAATCATGGAGGGGTCCTGCAGCAGGCATGCCCACCAAGAGGTGTGACGGAAATTCACATATGAGTTTACATCTGTCATCAGTAATGATGAGCAGTCCCCTCTGGCGTACAATTTGCTTTGAGTTATTAACTAATAATAGTACCATCACAGGGAAATGAGATGGCCTTTGGAGTAAGAATCAGAATATTCCTAACTAATAATACAAGCACTTGTCTTACTGTGCGGTTACACCTCACAGCCCCTTCCTAAGTTGCAAACGCATTTGAATCCACCGCGGACTCCAGGCTGTGTACGTGAGGCGCTCTCCCTTTGTGAGTGCCGAGCATCTAGCTGTTGTGCCACTGTGAGGAAAAGATCAAATGTCACGGCATTGTTTCTGTGAATTGTCTTTTACACGCCCTCATAAAGTCAAAAATAGGAATGAAGAGTCAGGGAAAACAGCAAACATTGAGCAGTAGAGGTAAACGAAGCCTGTCCTGGGCCCCGAGTCCTGGGCTCTTCGTCCATGCTGGGGGCCTCACCTGGCCCGACTGGGTGCCCCCTAGGAGCGGGAGCAGATGCAGCGCTACAACCAGCGCATGATGGAGCAGTTGAAGGTGCGGCAGCAGCAAGAGAAGGCCCGGCTGCCCAAGGTCCAGAGGAGCGAGGGCAAGACGCGCATGGCCATGTACAAGAAGAGCCTGCACATCAACGGCGCCGGGAGCGCTGCCGAGCAGCGTGAGAAGATCAAGCAGGTAGGCCGGGCCTGGCCACAGGCTCCTGGGTGTGGGGCAGACCCCTGGTGACGGGCTGTACCCTTCCAGTGTCGCCAGTATGGAGTAGATGAGGTAGTGCTGGTCCTAGCCCACAGCCCTTTGCTGTGACTTGGGCCCCCAAGATTCCTGCACACAATTGTAGTGCATCCCCTGAGGATGTCACGTCATGACTCTGGTGGCAGAGCCTGGGTTTTCACTCAGGATGAGGGTTAAACCAGTGGGGCACAGCTCGATGGGGAGCAGGGGGAGCTGGCCACCGACGCTGTGCCGGCCAGGTGCCTGGGATGGGCCTGCAGACGAGGGTGGAGATGGTCAAGGCCCAGCCGGCAGAGCCGGAGTCACAGCCTCAGCCTTTCTCCAGTTCTCTCAGCAGGAGGAGAAGCGGCAAAAGGCTGAGCGGCTACAGCAGCAGCAGAAACATGAGAACCAGATGCGGGATATGATGGCGCAGTGTGAGAGCAACATGAGCGAGCTGCAGCAGCTGCAGGTACTGTCCTCCCCCAGACCCTGTCTGCCAGGGCCGGCAGTGCCCAGGCCAGCTGCTGGAGAATCATTCTGCCTCCAGGTCTCACTTCCATGGCCCTGAGCTGGTCATGGGGTAGTGGTGATTCCTGCTTGCAGGATTTGTGACCAGGACGCCTTGCCCAGGGTCTGCCACAGTGGGCTGCTGCGTTTCCACCTCCGTGTCTCCAGGACACGCTGCCTGTTGAAGCCCTTGGAGCCCCCTGTCCCATGCCTGTGGGTTGCCTGCAGACAGGAAGGGGTTTCTCGCCAGAATCAGGCCGGCACCCAGAGCTCTCAGTGCCCAGATGGCCCCAGGAAGATAGGCCTTGGGGCCCCCTCGTGGCAGAGTGAGGCATTTACACTTGGGAGCTGGGGCCCCTCAGGAAAGTGCACAGGCCACCGAGCCCTTTTGAGGGTCTCCAGAGGGGCACAGAGGCTGGAGGAAACGGAATAGCACTGAAGGCAGGCCTCCTCTTTTGCTGCCATGAGGATCTGCATCAGTCACGCAGCTGTTGCCCCTCACTGCTGAAAGGCTTAACAAAAAGCCCAGAGTGCAAGCTCCATGCTGCTGGCCTTGTTCCCCATCAAGTCACCTGCCAAGTTCCAGAAACCTCCAGCTTGAAACTTAGGGGCTCAACCCCCCACCTCCTGGGGTCACGGCACCTGGGCTCTACCTCTCACCTCCCAAAAGCCTGAGGATGGAGGATCCACTAGGCCAGTGAGAGAAGGATGCAGCTCAGTCAGCAGGGTCTGCTGTGGGTCAGTTCCGGGACCAGGCCTGTGACTCGCTTCTATGCTCCAACCTGGGCAACAGAGCAAGACACCTGTCCCTTAAAAACAACACAACACAGACGGTGGCTCCAGCCACTGAGCTTCTGGTGAAGGCCTTTTGTTGGCCTGCAGATGTCCATCTATTTCCTGTGTCCTTAAAAGGTCCCTCCAGGAGAGGTAGGAGAGGAAGGCAGGAGACTGAAGGCCAGCTGCTTTCTGGTCTGCCTTTTTGTAAGGCCACCACCATCAAACCCTTTCCACCTTCTGAAGGCCTGTCTCTAACCCTCCCTTTGGGGACAGGGACTCAACTTGAATTTAGAGAGAACGTAATTTAGTCTGTAGAACAGATGCTTAAACAGTGGCTATTACAATGAATATTAGAAGCAACCTAAGTGACTAAAAGTAAGGGAGATTTAAATAAGTATTTAAATATATACCACGTGATATTCTGATTATGCAGGTGTTAAATATGAGCACAAATTGTAGAAATAATATTTGTAATATAACATCAAGCATAGAGAGGGAGAGGTTTTAGAATATAGGCAGGCTAACCAGTCTATAACCAGATAAAGTGGTACATGGCCATAGTCCCAGCACTTGGGAGACAAGAGGATCATGAGTTCAAGACCAGCCTGCGTGAGATCTTGTCTCGAGAAAAAAAAAAAAAAAAGCCAGCAACAAAGGGGTCAGAGCCCTACAGGAATTTTGTTGTGTTCCTAGTAGTTGCTTCTGCCTAGGTTAGGTGACAGTTTACTTGTGGCTATTAGTTTTGTTTGTTTAATTAAAACATATCTTCATTTCTGAAAATATGAATAAAGCACATTAAAGTTGCAGAACAACTACAGAAATTCTGCCCTGAAGTTTAGCAAGAACTGTCATTGTTAGCAGTCTGTAACAGTTCTCCGGGAACTGCTTTGGCACATGTGTATACGGTGGACTTATATGCAAATATATATATATATATATATATATATATATATATATATAGTTGTATGCCAAGGGTATTGAGAAGAAAAGATAATGTGGTACATGCAGGATGCTAGCACCCCCAGGGCTGTGACAGGAAAGTCTCCGTGCTCTCACACACTTGTTCTGCCTGGGATTTGTCACAGAATGAAAAGTGTCACCTTTTGGTAGAGCATGAGACCCAGAAGCTGAAGGCCCTGGATGAGAGCCACGACCAGAACCTCAAAGAGTGGCGGGACAAGCTTCGGCCGCGCAAAAAGGTACCATAGTGGATGACCGATGGCTGGGTGGGCAAGGACCACTGCTGAGCTGTTTCAGGTCTGAGAGTCCAGCTTCATGAGGCTTCCTCACGGCCTGTCAGGCACTGGCTGCTCGCTGCTCTATAGGCACTTCCAAACAGGAAGCATACCTTCAGGCCTAATGTGGAGTCTGTTACCCTCTTTTGCCAGCTGGGGACACTTAGGTGTGGCCTAGTGTGTGTACCGAGCACGCGCCCCATAGAAAAAGCCCTGTGCGATGAGGCCTGGCTCACGGGACACCTTCTGTCCTTGCAGTGTGAGTGGTGTTGTGTTCTGTTCACAGGTGCCACCCATACTCAAATGAGCAGAATGACATGAGAGCAAGTCTTTGGCTCCTCCTTAGAATTCTGCTCACTCCACCTTGGCTCCAGTGCCCTCCTACTGTCCTGTAGACCGAACCCAGCAACCCCCCCCCATCTTATTTTTTGTTTTGTTTTTTTTGCCAGTCGTGGTGCCTGAACTCTGGGCCTGGGCACTGTCCCTCAGCTCTTCAGCTCAAGGCTAGTGCTCTACCACTTGAGCCACAGCGCCACTTCCAGCTTTTTCTGCTTATGTGGTGCTGAGGAATTGAACCCAGGGCCTCATGCATGCAAGGCAAGAACTTTACCACTGAGCCACCTTCCCAGCCCCCCTATCTTATTTTTTTTGCCAGTCCTGGGGCTTGAACTCAGGGCCTGGGCACTGTTTCTGAGCTTCTTTTTGCTCAAGGCTAGCCCTCTTACCACTTGAGCCACAGCACCACTTCTGGCTTCTTCTGTGTATGTGGTACTGAGGAATCGAACCCAGGGTTTCATGCATGCTAGGCAAGTACTCTGCCACTGAGCCACCTTTCCAGTGCCCTCATCTTATTTTTTGAGGAAGTCTCCTGTATAGTCAGGGCATGATCTTGAGCTCAAGACTTTCCTGCTCAGCCTTGGGTGATCATCTGGGTGGCTTCACCGTGCCTCTCCCTTCTCTGCTCCCAGCTTGAGCAGCCCGTACTCCCTACCTAAATTTATCTCACATTTACTTCTCAGCCTCTGTAGCAGCTTCTGGCAAGATCAGTAAAAATCGTAGTAGCCAAATCTCATGGAGAAAACTTGATTTGTCCTCCTGGGCTCCCTGAACTTGTGTTTTCTCTTGCTGGCATATCCAGGTACCTGGCCTCTCTGACTGCCCCAGTTCACTCATCCCACACACACGCCCACACCCTTTGTGCTGTGCCCTGGAACTTCAGGATCCAAGTGGCTCCTCCACTTGCTTCAGTTGGGAGTTGAGCCTGCTGACATTAACTTTAGAACTGAGATGTGGTATTGTCTGTCATCTTGTTGTGATGCTTGCTTTGCTAGGGTGCTCTTCTAGTAGGATTATTTAGTTTTTGTTGTTTTTAAATCTTCTGATAGGATTCCCTATGTATCTTTTGCAGTGCTGGTTTAGTAGACATGAATTCCTTTCTTTTTTTTTTTTAATTGTGAAAATACTGTAGAGAGGGGTTACAATTACAAGGGCAAGATAATGAGTACATTTTTTTTTGGGGGGGGGGGGGTTGGTCATGGGGCCTGAACTCTGGGCCTAGGCGCTGTCCCTCAGCTCTTCAGCTCAAGGCTAGCGCTCTACCACTTGAGTCACAGCACCATTTCTGGCTTTTTCTGCTTATGTGGTACTGAGGAATGGAACCCAAGGCCTCATGCATGCAAGGCAAGCACACTACCACTGAGCCAACTTCCCAGCCCCAATGAGTACATTTCTTATCAAGCATTGTAGCCTCCTCCTTTGTTTCCCCTTCCCATCCCATCTCTCCCTTCCCCCCAATTCCTTTCTTTTATTTACCATTCAAGGTTTTTTACCTCCATGAAGTCTGAAGGATAGGCTCTCTGAATAAGAGGCTAGGCTGGCCACTGTTGTCTTTCAAGACTCGAATTCTTTCCCTGCCCTTCCTGCAGTTAAGTGTTTTTGCCAAGAATCTGCTATTATTCCAATGGGCTTGCTCTTGTGGTCACATGCCCCTCCTTTGCAGCTTAGTGCTTATTCTGTGCATTTAGTGATTTTACTGGGGTTTCTTCTCTGCTTTTGTCTGCTTGAAGTTCTGTAAGCCATCATCACCTGGACGATACTCTCTTGGGACTGGGTGAGTTTTCTATCATGATTTTTTCAAATGGGTTTTCAATACCTTTAGTTTTTATCTTTTTTTTTTTTAATCTATCCCCATTATATATAGATTGGATCTTCTTGTGCATGCCCTTGGTGTCTTCTAAGAAGCATCCCTCAAAACAGGTGAACCAATGCAGGAACAAATACAAAATACAGACTTATACAGAGCAACAATGAGGTTTTAGTTGTGCTATTGTCTGTATGTGTAGCTTATATACAGCCTTTTCTGAGGTAGCAGAAGTCAGTTTTAAGTGTGAGGGCTTTGCTTCCCTTGGAAGTCCTTACATGGGAACAAGGCTTTATTTTTTATTTTGGTCCGGTTGTGGGGCCTGAACTCTGGGCCTGGGCGCTGTCCCTCAGCTCTTCAGCTCAAGGCTAGCGCTCTACCACTTGAGCCACAGCACCACTTCCGGCTTTTTTCTTTTTGCTTATGTGGTGGTGAGGAATGGAACCCAGGGCCTCAGGCATGCAAGGCAAGTGCTCTACCACTGAGCCACCTTCCCAGCCCCGGGAACAAGGCTTTATAAATCCAGCTAATGGCCAGTGCCTCTGCAGTTTGACTCAGTAGAGTCCCAAGCCTGCTTAGCGGGCAGGGGCAGTGCTGCTTCCATTCTGTCATGGGCAGTGCTGTGAGCTTGTCCCTTGGTGTGCAGGGTCTCTGGGGTCCCTCAGCACATGCTGCAGGCGGCTTCACAGCTGTGGCTCTGGGCATCTGCTCTCTGGCTCAGGGGGTGTTCCCAAGCCTCCTCCCCGCAGACTTCCAGCCTCTGGATTTCTTTTTTTTTTTTTGTCGGTCGTGGGGCTTGAACTCTGGGCCTGGGCACTGTCCCTCAGCTCTTCAGCTCAAGGCGAGCGCTCTACCACTTGAGCTACAGCGCCACTTCCGGTTTTCTGGTGGTTTATTGTAGATAGATAGGAGTCTCATGGTCTCTCCTGTCCGGGCTGGCTTTGAACCGCGATCCTCAGATCTCAGCCTCCTGAGTAGCTAGGATTACAGGCGTGAGCCACCAGCGCCTGGCTAGCCTCTGGAGTTCTGACTGCAGTCTCCTTCCCAAAGCTTAAACTTTTGTTGATCCCTGATGGCTGTTTTGCCTGCTCTTCTTTCCCAAGCTTCTTATAACTAGTTTAAGTCTAGAGGTTATGCCCAAGTGTCCCATGCACTGCCAAACTGCTTCTACCTCTTGTTCCTGGACTTGGGGAAACAGGGTCCCTACCCCAGACCAGTCCTCACCTCTGCAGGCTGGTGGAAAGTCCTTAGATGGTATTTTCCTGAGGCTGAATTTGGCGATTTCTGGGTGGTTCCCCAGCCAGGAAGCCAGATGCCAGTTCCAAACGCCTTTGCTGCTATTTCTACCATCTCTATTGTTTCTCTGTTACTTCCTGGGTTCCCACCCGCAGAATCTCACTTTTGTGTCACTGGAGCGAAGTGTTGAGTGCTCCGTTTGCCGTCTTGTCCTGCGTGCCCTCCCTGCCCCTATGCTCTGTTGCTAGCTACACCCCAGCTCGGCTTCGTGTGGGTGTGTGGTGAGCACAGGACCTTGTGCTTGCTCTGGCTCCAGCCCATTCTGTCTTATCTTATCAGACTGACCCTCCTCCTACCTGTGCCTCCCACGCAGATGGGACCACAGGCTTGTGACGCAACGACTGCTTGTGGGATGGAGCGAGCCTCAGTGACTTTCTGAGCTGGCCTCAAACTGCAATCCTCTTTCCACCTCCACCTTCCGAGCAGTTTGGATCACAGGTGTGAAGCACTGAAACTGGCTGTTTTTAAACGAAGGTTTTCCTTCCTGTGAGCTCATGACGGTGAATACTCATGCAGTCTGCTTCCCCTGCCTTCACTCCTGGTGGAGTGGCAGGAGGGGTGAAGGAGCCGGTGTCCCTACTCACTCGAGTCTGGGGAAACGCTCACAAAGCATCACTGGTGGAGCTTTGTGGCTGGTGGGATGCTTCTAGTGCCTTCTATCCTCTCTCAAACACAGGCTCTGGAAGAGGATTTGAACCAGAAAAAGCGGGAACAGGAAATGTTCTTCAAACTGAGTGAAGAAGTGGAGTGCCCCAACCCGACCACGCCCAGCAAGGTCACCAAGTTCTTCCCCTACAGCTCGGCCGATGCTTCCTAACGCCTGCAGGGAACTATGACTGGCAGTACGGGGCCCAAAGACCCTCGGCCTCTGCAAACAAGTAACTCAGGGCCCCTCCGCCTCGCTTCTGTGCCAGTTCCAGCCAGACCCTTGCTTCTGCTGCCTGCTTCTTACTCCTTGGTGGAGGAAGGCAGTTTACGGTTATCCCTGACCCTAACTGCCCTCATCCCCAGATCCCATTGAGTGGCCAGTGATTGGGGCAGCTGGGACAAGGGCCAGGAGAATGGGTCTGCTGTGGCCTCAAGACCCTGCCTGTCTTGCAGTTTATGGGCTGGAGCATGCTGGTCACTGGGGTCACTTCAGATGTGGCCCTGTGTATAGCAGCTCCTGCAGTGCAGACAGGAGCCACCTGCCATGCCATTTCTTGGAAGTGCCAGGCTAGAAGCCAGTCCCTCCAAGGTGTCCTTACACCCCGGACCTACTTTCTGCTCACAACAAAACTGTTTGTGTGGCCCTGGTAGGTGGGGCAGTCTGTGGGGAGCCATGCTGGGTTTTGGCCTCAACATCCAGAGAAGGCACTTTGTGCTGCCAGTTTGCTGGCCTTTGCCTGGCATCCTGTGTTTAGGGTAAATTCCCTACCTCTTAGAATCCACAGGCCGGCTGCACCTGGCTCACACTGCCCACCCCGCTCCACTGCTGCCTGAAGGTGCCTGGGGGAAGGCTCCTTTCCTGGGCTGTGTCCAGGAGGCCCAACGCACATTTCAGACCAAGCTTGGACTTCTCAGGAAGAATGTTTTCTGCCCCCAGGAACATGGCAGAAGCAAAGGTTCTGTGTCCCATGCACTCTTGGGCCTTTAGGTTGGCTCAAGGTGTTGATTTTCATAGGCTGCTTTTACAACCCACCATAAGCAAATGCTCCAGCCAGCTTAGTCTGTTTACAAAGCACACCTCTCACCTTGATTTCAAAATGTTCCACTGAAACAGAAAATGAATGGCTTCTTCAGGAAAACAGCTTCTTTTCAAGAACTTTATGGTCCTGACAACAGTGAGGACTCGGGCAATGACGTTGGTTGTGCTTTGCTGGCAGTGATGTCTGGGAACCCCAAGGTCTTGTTGGCTCCTCCATTCCTCAGGGATAGGGCCCTGGATGTTTCTCTTGATTTCAACGGATGCTTGGCAAGGGAGGGCCGGTGGCTGAACAGGCAAAGAGCATGTGGGGTCCTGAATCTTTACTGTGAAGTGAAGAGGTTCTTGGGACAGACACGGCTATCGGTGGTTTTCTTAAGTTTGGCTTGCTGGATGGGACACAGGCCCCGGGGGAACCCATGTGGGTGGGTGACCAAGGTTTGTACATTGTCCCTGCAGCCAGGAGTGTGACAAAAGTACAAGTGAGATGTCAATTTTGTAGTTCAGGGAAGGTCTGCTACTGTTCCTCATGTGGCTTGTGGCTCCCAATGCCCAGCTCCTTTATGACGTTGCTGCCTCATTGCTCAGTACCAACTAAGCCCTCCTAGCTGTGCTGTGCTTTTACAGATGGGGTCCGGCCTGGTCATCAGACTCACCGACAAGCCTACATGCAATGCTCATTGCCAGATGTGCACACAGTATTCCTCAGGCCCTGTACTACTAAATTTCTGCATCAGGGACGAATGTTTCTCCCTTCAGTCCATTAACTTATATTTCCCTTTATGAAGAAGTTATTTTTACATGGTTTCCAAATTTATGAAGTTTTTGTAAGATGTTCTCTGCAAAGTTAACTGTGAGAATGTAAATATGCTTCTAATAAATAAAGTAATTTGCATCTGGGGGTTGTTCTTTTGGAATGGGGTAAAAAAAACAGGTGTGTTTACCCAGTAAGAAAGCTTATTTATTATTCTGAGTACCCAGGTGCCTCCATTGTAAAACTGCAGGTCAGACTCCAGGGTTTCTGTCTCAAGTGATGCACAGCAAGAGAGGGAAAATATATATCTGGGTATGTTCTCTTCAGCCCTCAGCATCATTTTCCTTTCATAACATGCATTGACCTCCAAGAATTGTATAGGTTAAATCCTCTCAAGAACCTTGGAGAACACTTCATCATTCCTAGTTCACAGATGAGGAAATAGACCCTGAGCAAGGGGCAGGCTGGGCTCACAACCTCTTCTGACTCGATAAGGCAATTCTGTGATCACAACAGGTCAAGATAGAAATGAGACCCATCCATAATCATGCAAGAACACACATAAAGGACACAGGAATAACGTCTGTGTCACAAAAAAAAAAAAATGACTAAACATCTTCAGCTAATTTGAGGGGTTGCCTCAAATTACAGCCCTAGCCTCATTCCTTCAGATAAGATTTTCTGAGATGTCCAACCCTAGAGTTACCTCTATTCCTGACTGCACCCACCCCAGGGCAAAGCCCTGCTTCCTTAAAACTTACCACATTCCCCTAAGACCTGCAGAGAGGCCTGAGTTCTCCCTCAGGGCAGCTGGCAGGAAACTACCTTGCTCCTGGGGAAGTGCTCAGGAAGCCCTCAGAGACTTGGTGGAAGTCCCGTGGTGGAGGCAGAGCTCCAGAAGGTTCCACTTCTTACTCCTAGTTGTGGCCTGCTCTGCAGTGAAGCTCCATGAGAAGGGCTCAGTTATGTTCAGGGCTGGTCGCCAGGGCTCCCAGCAGTGCAGCAGATGCTGGAAAGTTAAAAACAGTACTTATCTTCTGAACAAGAGAGCAAGAGCTCAATTCGCCCGGGACCCTTCTCATCCCTGGGCTGGAGTGGGAAGACAGCTGCGGGCCCCCTCCTCCTTCCCACCCGCGGCCTGCGCCCTGCCCGGCCCAGCTCCCCTTCCGGCTCCCCTTCCACCTAGGTGTTCCCCCACCGAGGCTGCGGCCCTTCCCCGTCCCGGGGAGACCCCGCACTCTCCCCGGGTGGACCCCTCCTCCCCCTGTGCACCCCCCCCCCCGTGCTCCCTCCCCTCTGGACGCTCCCCCCCTCCCGGGCCTGAGCCCAGCACCCCACCACGCACGCTCCCCCCCCCCCCCTCCGCTCCTCGCCACCGTCTACCTCCGCTCAGCAACCCGCGGCAGGACCGCGCGCGAGCGGCCGGCGTGGAGCGGCCTGGCCAACGTGGACGGCGCATGTCCGGAAGTCGGCGCACACGCAGCGCCGCCGCCGCGCCAGGAGTCGCCTCAGAGTTTCCGTTCCGGGCTTCCCCCGCCCGGAAGTCCGCGGCGACGGCGGAAGGAGGGCGCGCGCAGAGCCTGCCGGGACTCGTAGTCGCGGCGCTTTGGCGGCCCGGCCTGAAGGAGCCCGAAGCCCCTGGGTGGGAGCCGCGCCCTCGCCGTCCAGCCGGCCCCGCCGCTCCGCCGCCGTCGCGGCCGCCGGGCGGGCGCTGCCCGGGCGGCCGCTCGCTCCCACCACGCCCCCGGGGCCGCGGCGGCCGCTGGGAGCCGTAGTCCGACGCCGCGCACTGCGCCGGCCGAGCAGAGGGCGGAGCTGCCGGCGGCCGGGCGGGCGGCAGCTGGAGTGGGCGCGATCGCCGCCGCCGCCGCCGCCGCCGCCGCCGGCGCCTCCTCTGCCCGGGCCGTTCGCTGTGCGCGGGGAGAGCGAGGCGGGGCCGCCATGGAGCCCGACTCCGTGATTGAGGACAAGACCATCGAGCTCATGGTGAGTGCGGCCGCCGACCGTCCGCCTTCCGCCCGTCCGGCCGGGCGGGCCTGCGTCCGCGCGAGGCCCGCCCCGAGTTCCCCGCCGCCCCGGCCCGGCCTCGGCGCGGCTCCCCGCCGCCCGCGCCCTCCGCGCCCCGGCCCCCTCCCGCCGCCCGTTCCCGCCGCGGCCTCGGCTCCTCGCCCTCCGCCTCCCGGCCGCTCCGCCGGAGGAGCGCGGGAGGAGGAGGAGGAGGCCGGCGGCGCCGCCCGGCCCGCGGTCCCGGCCTCGGCGTCCAGGCCCGGGCGTCCCGCGGGGTCAGGCCTCCCGGACAAAGGGAGGGCGCTGCCCGGGCCCGCAGAGGCGCGCGGCGCTGGCCCGGGCGGCCGCGGTCCCGCCCGCCGCCCCCAGCTGCCTCGGCCTGGCCGCTGCCGCCCGCGGGGCCCGGAGCCTCCGCCGAGGCGGTGACGACCGCGCCGCGGGCCCCGGCGGCCCCGCGCGGTGACCCCGCGCGGTGACCCGCGGGGAGGGCGGCGACCTCGGCGCCGCTTCCCACTCGGGTGTGCGGGCGCCGCGGGGCCTGTGCGGCGCGCGCGGGGCCCGAGGCCGCGGCCGGGCCTCCCGGTGCGAGCCCCCCGCGGGGCCGAGGCGGACACGTGCGCCCGGCCGCGGTCGGAGCGGCGCACCTCCTCGGGGGCAGCGGCGCCCGCACCCCGCCAGGCGGGCCCGCCCGGCTCCACTCGGGGGAGGCCCGCAGGCCTGCTCGGAAGGGAGCCCCGGCAGCTCCTGAGCGCGGGGTCCGAACTAGGAGCCTCGGCCTACGGTCGCTCGCCTTCCCTGCTCCCAACTCGAGTCCCGACTCCAGGTTGGGGTGCAGCTCAGTGTCCAAGCCCGGCACCCCCGCCGTTGGGCCTCACAGCATAGTTCTGGTCTGCGGTATCAAGAGAGATTTCTGACATTTAGGGACGGTATAAACTTGGACTTCAAACAGGATTATCAGAAGCTTATCAAAGATTATGATCATTTGAAAATGACTTTTTAAGGATTTTAACGTTCCTTGAAAAAAATAAGTTGAGACCTGGCACTTTTCATAAACATGTTTGTGAAACTAAGCACAGGTGCCTGTCCGCAGATTGAGAAAATCCAGGGTCAAATTCGGGAATGATTTGCATACGTCTTTCCCTGTGTAAGTGAGTTACCATGCCTATGTCGGAAGGTTTTTAATACTGACTTCAAGACAATATGATTGAAGGAGAAGGGGTTAAACCGATGGAATTTTGAAAGCCCAGAGCATGAAATATTTTAGATTTTTATGAGTCTGTTTCAGTACTCAAATATTTATGATTGTGCTGTCTGTACTAGTTTGGTAATGGTTACCAAGATAACTTTCATGTGATATTTCAGCATAACCTGTCCTTTTTTTTTTTTTAATCATCATCCCTCTGTCTTAGATTTTTGACACCCCCCCACCCCCCCCCCCCCCCGCTTTTTTCCCCTCCTCTCTTTTCTCTGTTATGGAGCTTAAATTCAGGGCCTGTGCCCTGTACTTTTGCTCAAGGCTAGTGCTCTACCACTTTGAGCCACAGTGCCACTTCCAGTTTTCTTGTAGTTAATTGGAGGAACTTTTCAGCCCCAGCTGGCTTTGACCCATGATCCTCAGATCTCAGCCTCTTGAATAGCTAGGATTACAGGCCTGAGCCACTACCACCTACCTCTCTTTCTTTTTTGTTGGAGTGCTAGGGATTTAACCAAGAGCCTGTTGTGCCAGGCAAGCAGTTTACCACTGAATCCACTCTACCTCCAGCTCATTTTTTTTTTTGGTAAGCTTAGGAGAAATAAAGTTTGGGTCCAGATGTATCTTAGTGGTAGAGTACAAAATAAGTTGCTTTTGAGAATCCCTGGTTTTGATCCCTAATATGGAAGTAGAGTGGAGGGGCAGCAGAAGAGAGATAGTAGTAGCAGAATAATTGCATCTCCAAAATGCACTCCCTCCCCGTCCTGCCTGAGGGTTGGGTTTATAAAAGACACTTCTCCCTCTGACCTGGGTAAGTTCAGTCTCTGTAACTTCTTGATTGACACAACTGAATGTACAGTTGCTGATGTTTTAACCACCACGTAGACTTTTATGGCCTACTTATGGGCCTATTTTTTTTTTTTTTTGGTCGGTCCTGGGGCTTGAATTCTGGGCCTGGGTGCTGTCCCTGAACTCTTCAGATCAAGGTGAGTGCTCTACCACTTGAGCCACAGTGCCACTTCCAGTTTTCTGGTGGATATTTGGAGATAAGAGTCTTACCGTGTTTCCTGCCTGGGCTGGCTTTGAACCTCGATCCTCAGATCTCAGCCTCCTGAGTAGCTAGGATTGCAGGTGTGAGCCACCAGCACCCTGCATGTTTTTTAAGTCTGACTTTAGTAACATCAGATTTATTATGAATAAGTTAGATGAAAAGTAATCCATTTTGGAAATACACAAAATTCATGAGGCTCTGGCTTGTTTGGCAAATTTCACTGGAAAGAATGCAAACTGAATTATCTATTACATGATGTTTATTCTTAAACAATTTTTTTATTGGTACTAACAGCTCAGGACCTTGGTTTTGCTTGGTAAAGGCTGTCTATTACTTGAGATATTTCCAGCACTTCTTTTCTTTAGTCTTTTTTTTTTTTTTTTTTTGGATGGGATATTGGTGTCTTTTCCTGGGTCAATTTAGGACTGTGACCTAAAATAAATAAGAGACGCCACGCCTGGCTTGATTTATTGAGACTCTCCTCTACCCCTTCCTTGCCCTCTGCCCTCAAACCTCCTAATCTCTGCCTTCCTTACCCCCCCCCCCCCCCCCCCCCCCCCCCCCCCCCCCGTTGGTCCTAAGGCTTGAACTCAGGGCATGGGTGCTTCCCCTGAGCAGTTTTGCTCAAGGCTAGCACTCCACCACTTTGAGCCACTGTGCGCCACTCCAGTTTTCTGGAGGTTAATTGGTGATTAGAACCCCCCCCCCACTCTAAAAACAAAACAAAACAAAAAAGGTGTGCCAAGTGTGCTTTAAGATTTTTTTTTGAGGCAGTCCCATCCTGTAGCTGTGAGCCTTGAACTTTCCATCTTCACGCCTCAGTCACTGGGATACTTGTACTACTATATTTGGCCAAATATGCTAATTTTAGAGTTGTTGGAGTACAAGGGGGTCATAAAACCAAGGATATGAGAGAAACAGATGAGAAGTTAGTGGAAATTTTTCTTTTTCTTTCCTCTCATTGACTTTCTAATTGGGGTAAGTGGGATTCTTCATTGAGTTTATCAAGAAATTGGATCTTTGTTTCTATTACCTATCTTCATGTGTGTCTAACTTTCAAAATGTGATTAAAAAGAGGGTTCAGATGAAATAAATCATATATTTATAGGCCTCATTGAAAGGTTGTGGCTTGAGCATAAGAGTCTGTGCCCATGATTTTACAGTAGGTTAGGTGTCCTTTCTGATTTGACAAGGATAAACATGTTTCCGCATACAAGTCTTGGCACTCTTAGCACCTAAGTTGAAGCCTGTGTCATACAAACAGAATAAGCCCAGGAAAATCACTACGCTATTACATAGACTCACAGAATGACATACATACCTTTGAGTTTAGGCTTATGAATTCTAGAAACAAAAGTGTTCTGCTCTCTGAACTCTGGGATCTTAGGTTCCACCTTGTGATTCACATTTGCACTTGGTGGGAAAGAAAGTATTTGCAATCCTAGTGGTTCGTTCCAATTTGAGTTTCTGTCTCTCTGGATCTCAGGCTCCCTTCTGGCATTTTCTCCCACGTAATTCCTATTCCAGCCAAAGTTGGAGGATCATGGCCTTCCAGTTTTTGCTCCTACTGTCAGCTCTAGCATGAACTGCTCTATGCCCATTTGTTAAACACTCCATACTTCCTCTCTGCCCAAGTTGGCTTAGATCACTACCCAGCAATCTTCTTTTTTTTTTTTTTCTTATACAAATAAACTTCTGTCATCCTGGAAAGCAGAATGGACACTATTTCTTTTGGTGTCAGTTTATTTGATGGGATGAGAGATCTTGTTTTGTATCTGTAGCACTGCCTACAGGATAATGATTGTTAAATAAAATTAATGAATTCAGACACTTTGTATTTTTCTTGTATACAAAATGTTTCTAGTCTTGAATTATAATTACTTGTTTGTGTTTCCTATAAATGATAAACTCATGGAAAGTGGTGGGACATTATTCATCTTCCTCCAACACTTAGCTCCTTTATATGTAAAATGCATTCTTATAGATGTTCATTAAGTGTTGAATTAAGTTTTCCTGGTGATTGTTTCCATAATTATTTCTTTCTAGAAGGTTTCATCTTTGTTATTAATTCTCATAATAATCTTTTATGAGACATATACCTTACTGATATTATAAAAACTTGTGGTTGTTCCCTGCCAAAGGCTGTATTTGGTGACCTTTTACTCCTCCACAATGCTCACTGTGTGAGAATCCAATTGATAATAATTTAAATTTATGTTTGTATTTTTTTCCCTGTGCTGTAAAGTCTCTTACACTCTCTGTCTCTGTGTGTGCGTGCACATGCTGGTCCTGGGGGTTGAACTCAGGCCCTGGGTGCTGTCACAGAGCACTTTTATTCAAGACTAGCACTCTACCACTGAGTCATAGCTCCATTGCTGGCTCTTTTGGTAAGTTAATTGGAGATGCCTCAATGGGCTGGCTTTGAACCTCAACCCTTAGATCTCAGCCTTCTGAGTAGCTAGGATTACAGGTGTGAGTCATCAGTAGCTTTTGATAACCTTAAGACAAAGGTGGAGATGGATGGAGGGAAAAGACTGGTGAAGGAAAGTCATAGACATTATAGTAATCATACATAGATACTTAAAGATTGATTTACTACATCCCAGAGTGGTTGCTAGCAAAGATTAAGAAACCAAGTTCATTTTATAGCTATTGATGTGAATTTACAATTGATAAGCACTTCAAAAAGGTTACCTAGGTTTCCTTCTGAGTTGTATTGTTAACTCAATTAGTTGA